TGGCAGAGAGGCACAATCTGACTCCTGTTTTCAAAAGGATCTGTCTTCTCCATGTCAAGGCACTGACTTACAGTCTTGACGAGCATTTCATCCTTATTTAACCCATAGCAGGTGGCTGCTGTTATTACTGCTTTTACTGATGAGGAAATTAAAGCTCAGAGAGATAAAGTCACTTTGCTGGGGTCACTCAGCTGCTCCTTGGGAGCTAGCATGTTAAGTCGAGGTTTTTCTGATTCCAGAGGCCTCCTGGACTAGGAGAAGAGGCTGTGCTTGAAAGACAGGGGTTCCAGTGATGCTGAGGGGGTTTTGAGAGTAGAACCCTAATGGTGGTCATGCAAGAAATAAACCACAGAGTTTGGCAGCTGGTGGGATGTGTTGGGGAGAAGTGTGAGTCAGCTGTGGAGTGTGAGGCTTGCGGGTCTTCTTGGAGAATAGCCACAGCTCAGCAACTTAGTGATGGATGTGGGCGCCAGGTGAGAGATGAAGGTGTGCCTCTGCGCACCTGGAGGTTGAGGTGTTGGCAGGAAAGAGTGGAAATGGCCAGTTGATCCAGAAAGAAGAACGTAGACGAGAAGGACCAGGAGTCTCCGACTGTGGTTGTGATCAAGGCTATAAAGATTGGGGCCTCCCAGAACTGTGGGGAAAGGCTTGGGGCTGTCCCCCAAGGAGTTGGGAGTCGGGGGCGGGGTGAGGAGGTGGTGGGTGGGTGGTCTGAGCAGGTGGTCTGGGGCAGGCGCCCCTGGGGTGGCCCGAGGGGGTCGGGCTTTGGTGCGGATGGTGCTGACAGACCAGATAGTGAGGTTCATAGCTCACGGAGGGACAAATGCTCGGGGCCCAGCACAGAAGGAGAAGCTACCAGCGGCGAGAGGGGCTGAGGCCAGGGACGAAGATGAAGAGGGAGAGAAGTCACTTCTTTCAGAGAAGGATGTGTTTCCGTCACAGCCTTCGGAACCTGGCTGTGAACCTCTGTTGGAGCCGATTCTTTCTGGCTCAGGAGGAGGGCAGGTGGCCTGGACAGGCGCCTCGCCGGGCATCTCCAGGTGTGAGGTTTTCAGGCCTGAGTGGACACACCTGGGGGGATGGAGGCGCCTCCGGCGGCTGCTCTGGGGGCCGCTTTCTTCCCGTGTTAATCCTGGGGCCCAAGCGTGGGCTTCAGCTCCTTTTTTCCTCTCCTGAAACCTTTACCTTGAATCACACCCTTTCCCCCCCACACTCGTAAAGGAGTCAAAGGGAGCCCTTTTAATTCTTTTCCTTCTGAGAGTGAAACAGCTTTGTGAGGCGGCTTTTCTGCCTGTCGGTCTCCATCAAGAGAGTGGCTTGCTTTGCGCCCGTGTTTATTTAGCACCTGGGAGGTAGGCCGCTGTTTCTTTTTTCATGACTGGATCTTTTTTTTTTTAAAGGATCTTGCCTGATAGCAGTTCTCACAAGCCAATAAAAAACAACCACATTTTTTTCCTTGGGCGTCCTTTGCATGTCTCGAGATGATGCTTTAGACCTTTGTTTTGCTGCCTTTCCAAGTGTTTTCATCGCTCACCTTTCAGATTATGGGAAATGTCAGCTCAATGGAGAGAATAATTAAGTGACTGCCCGCATGTCCCCACCTCCACCTCCAGCAGTTAATCAAACCGGCTGCCACTTTTTGTCTATCTGCCCCTCTCCACAGTTTTCTTCTGTAGCCACCTAAAGCCAGTCTCAGACTGGAATGATTCTAGGCAGCGGGGGCCCCTCAGGAGCCAAGCAGCCTCTGCAGATGTTTGTTCTGGGACTTAAATTTTCACTGAGGATGGGAATGCGGACACGCCCGAACGTCCTCCTGCGGGAGTTCATCTCCTCGGCCTGGACCAGAGGCTGAGCTTTCACCGCCCCCTTAGTTCCCACTCCCAGTCTCCCCTCCTGCAGGTGGCCCATGTCTTCATAGGACTGTCCTGGGCCCTTTCTGCCAGGGCACTCGTGGATAACGTCCAGAAAACCACCTAGGCCAGCCTAGAGCAGCCCCCTGAGAGCCAGCGCAGACCAGCTTCCGGGCTGGGCTCAGCCTGGCCGCCTCCATGTCTTGTTCCTGCTGAATCACTGGAACCAGGTCGCATCCTCTTCATCTGTGCTTCTCTGTGACACTTTGAAGTGAGTGAAACAGACAAAAAGCGGCGCCTACTTGACGGCCGTGCCTTCTGTGGGGTGTGACGACCCTGCTGCCCTGGCTCGCCTGGTGTAATTGCACTTCGCCCCCTCTCAGCAGGCAGGGTGCGCGCCCGTTTCCTGCCTCTTGCATCAGTCTGTTTGTGAGTGCACCCAGAGGCGCTTAAGGGGAAGGATAAACATAGGCTTACCCACTGAAAGTCCCTCCTGTTTCCTAAATCGTTTTCGGTCTGATGAATTGTTTGTTTGCTGCCCGCAGACCACATGGGGAGCGCGTGCTTCCTTCTGTCGTGAAGCCTGCAGCCTTCACGGGGGAGCCAGGCTTTTCAATAAAAGCAAAGTCAACACAAGATAAGGCTTGAAAGAGTCTTCATCTGAGAAGCCTGGTGACTAACGAGCTAGGCAGCCGCCTGTCCCCAAAAGCGGAGCTTGTGTGCTACCGGCAGAATGAGGGGCACCCTGAGACCCCCAAACCTGCCTGCTCTAAATGGGTTCTGCCACCCCCTGCATTAAGACAAAACACACTCTGGTATGTAAGATGTTCAGTAGAAAAGAACTGTAGTACAATTAGTGTGTAATAATGAGTGTGCAGTAGAGAGAAGAGAAAGGGAAGGAATGTAGCTTCCCAATCAAGCGCCCACAGCTACCCGCCCCCTCTTGGGTAAATGCCCAGCCAAGCGGGGTTGACCCAAGCAGTGCAGCTGAGGCCCAAAAGCTTGCCACAAGCCTAAGGCACCTTCTGGCAGGGAACCAAAGGAAAGGGGCAGAAGGAGCCAGGCAGGTCTGGAAGGAAAAGACCAAATCAAGATAAAGGCTGCCATTGTCAGCCCCCCCACGGGTCTCTCACCCATGTCTGTCTCAAGTGTCTCCTCCCATGTCCCCCAAGTCCCTGGTACAAGTCCAAGGCCAGGAAGCAAGTGCAGCTTCTCCACATGTGTCTGTGCTCCGCGCGCCTCCTCCAGTCTTCCTCTTCCCCCTCTCTCCACTTCTCCCGCATCTCTCACTCCTTGTCCAGTCCCTGTTCTCGCTTCACCTCCCTGCCCAGCTCCTCCCCTCCTTGGGGGGTGGAGGTTGGGGGAGAGGGTGTTAGGGAACTTGCAGTGTCACACGTGAGGCCTGAGAGCCCGTGTCCACGGTGTCCTTGTCCCCTGTGTTGAAGTTGCTCTGTTGTCCGCGGGGTCCTGATGGCCGGCAGTTCCTCCTCCTCGCTGCAGTGTCCTGCCTGGGGGGGTCCCAGCGAGGCGCCTCCTCACTCCCTCCAGCATCCCCAACCACCAAGCTGTCAGCAGTACCCTCTTGTTCTGTGCTGGGGTGATCAAGTGGATAAGTGGCAGTGGGGTGGGGGAGAGGATCTGTCTTTTTTTTTTTAAAGATTTATTTATTTGTTTGTTTATTTATACAAGCACTGGGTACAGTCAGAAGCGCGGGAGGGTGAGAGAATTCACCAGAGCCAAAGCAGGGAGCAGAGCAGGCAGAAGGACCGAAGTACACTGCTGCGGGGAGCAGCGGGCGGCAGGAGAGGTCTGCGCGCCATGTGGGACCCTCCTCCGGTGGCCGGGGAGCAGCCGGGGATCAAGCCAGGGATCGAAACGGCGCCGCAGAGGCCGCAGGCAGCTTCGCAACCCAGCACTCCACCGCTGCGCCACCGGGGAGGCTCGGATCTGTCATTTTTGACTATTGCAAATACAACTGATTTTGAGAAAAATCTTCTTTCCAATTAAAGAAGCAATGCAGGAAAGGCTGGGGAGTTACCCTATCAACAGAGACGAGTTACAATGGCATTTTGGACTTTCTAGTTTTCTCCATGGGCATTGAAGATGTTCTCAGCCGTGTGAATACTCTACATAGATGTTAGCTTTTCTGCTGAGCAGAATAGCATAAAGATTTGCACATGTTTTTAAATTTCACAAGCCTTTTTAGAAGCCTTGATCTTCTTCCAAGTGTGCTTTCCATAATCTACCGTATTATTGAACAGTTAGGTCATTTGTAACACTGCCCCGAGCTGGTCTTTGTACAGAAAGCATTTCCTGTATTTTAGATTCTGTTTGAATTACAGTTTATAGACATGGAACTAATATGTCAAAAGGAATCAAGGAGAATGAACCCTTGAAGGCTCCAAGAGCACCATATTCTGCCCCAAAGGGGTGTGTCCATTTACCACCCAGTCAAACCCGCAGCAGTAGCAGAACCGATTTTTTTTTTTTTAAGATTTCTTTATTTATGCATTCAAGAGCTGGGGTACAGGCCAGAGATCTGGGGAAGCGGGGGTGAGAGGATTCATCAGAGACAGAGTGGGGAACAGAACAGGCAGACTGACTGAAATACACTGCCAAGGGGAGCAGCGGGCAAGACAGGAGAGGTCCGCTTCGCCAAGTGGGTTTCTCTCTGGACGGCCAGGGATCGAACTCGTGCTGCAGAGGTTATGGACTGCTTCATAGTACGGTGTTTAACCCCTTGTGCCACCAGGGAGGCCCCCAGAACCGATTCTTAAGCCATGGTTTTGTGTTTCCTCGTGAAAATCTGACTCCAGGCATCAGACAAGGTGAAGATTTGGGTCTTAAAAGTTCTTGATGTGTTAGGTCGTGACACTGTGACCCTGTATCCATAGCAGGTGGTGACAGGTCCTTCCAGTCCACCCCCAGGTACATCTCTTGACTTTGGGTCATTCGGCTGGGTTCTTTAGCCCATCTCAGCAACAGTCACGGGGCTGACCATTGCGCCTGTGTGTTTCTAAAGCATCGTCACACACCTTATCTCAAGTAGGATGTTTAAGTTATCAGTACAACGTGAGGATTGGTCCTGGGAACACTCTGGGGTCTCCATGTGTTCGAGTCTGTCTGACGATGCCTTGTTCTCTTGCACAGATCCAGTCCTGCAGGTCCCAACACACGTTGAAGAGTAAGTTTTCTGATTTGCTTCAATACTTCCTTTTAATCCATTCTCTTAATTCTCTAGTCAGTACTCACGAAGCTAGTTGCTTGGTGTATATATAGGCATACATTTAAGGTATAAAAGACAAACTATGTGATTTCATTCCTAGCTATTGTATATAGAGAAAACAGATGAACTAAATAAAGCAAAAATAAACGTTTGGACTATAAAACCAACTGGTAGTAACCAGAAGGAAAGTGGGGAGTGGGTAAATTGGGAAAAAGGGCACAATGGTTGGGTTATGGGTAGGCTTGGAGTTTTGGCAGGAACTTAATGTAGTCTCTATGCATGTTGACTCTTCGATGATGAAAGCGTGGAACATATAATGTTATAACACAGCATCCCTTCCATTTTAAAGAGAGAGAAAGAGAGTTCCTCTAAGCAGAGCAGAGATTCAGCGCAGGGTTTCTGCAGGACCAGCTCAGTCCTCAACAGGTTCACTTTGCCCGAGAGCTTATCGAGTCTGCTTCTTGGGAAGCCGCCGACCTGGGACCTGGCCGCGTCTCCAGGCAGGCGCCCTGTGAAGTCAGACTTTCAGGGTCCACTGTGGTTGCCTCCAGTTTAAAAGTAAATGTTTGTTGACCGTGAAAGGTAGATTTGTCCTGCCTGTTTATGCACCACCCCAGGCTATTAAACAGTCATGGTGGAGGCTCTACACGATTGACCTAGAAACTGAGCAGTAGACTTCCTGGGTTCTTTTCACTTAGTTTTCCTTCATCCGGAGCGCTTTGACCAAAGGATGATCTGCTCTTTCAGGATTTGAATGATCATCTTTTGCAGGTTGCTATTTTGTACCTAAGTAGGGTGTAGACCAACAGCGATATTGTATTTGTGCCTAAAGAGAAGGAGCAGTGGGTAGGGTTTCTCTTTCTCTCTCTCTCTCTCTCTCTCTCTCTCTCTCTCTCTCTCTCTCTCTCACACACACACACACACACACACTCTCTCTCTCTCTCTCTGCGGCTTTGCTGTTCTGTTCTGTGCCTGGGCTGCTATTTATCCTTGAACTATTACTTAATCTCTAGGCCCGCCTTCCTCCCTGATCCCAACGATGGCAGCCTTTACACACTCGGAGGCAAGAATAACGAAGGCCTGACGGTGAGTATGTTTAGCTTCTCTGTGGAGCAGGTTCTAGACCAGTGACCTGAAACTGTAGCTGAAGTTCGAGATCCCCCAAGACCTTAACAAAAACTTCTAGGGATTCTGATTCAGGGAGTCCAGAGAGGCACCCAGCAGCTCCCAAGATGGGCTCCTATGCGAGCTTTGGAATGTGGGCCAGCGCAGCCCAGCGGGAAGGATGTGGTGGCAGGGTTTGCACTAACTTGTGCCTCCCATGTTGTGGTTGTGAGGGGTTGTAGTTTGAGACACCAGCCCCCGGAAGACATCCCCTTGTGAGGAGGGGTATGGGGGAGTCCACTTTTATTTCCATTTGAGAATCTAGGCCAGTGGCCCTCAAACTTAGCGACATGTTGTGATAACTGGGAGAACTCTGAAAAGCACTGAGTCTTGGTCCCAACCCTGAAAGACAGTTAAAGTCTTAACTGTCAAGGCTATTGGGATGTTTAAAAAGCTCCTAGATAAGAGAATTTAGGGACAGGCCCACACATGGTCACCTGGTTGTTGACCAAAGCCAGACCGCAGAACAGGCTTGGAGGGGGCGCTTTTCAGTGAACAGTGTGAGTTGACTGGGGCATTGTCCATATGGGAAAAAAAATTTTGTAACTCTGATCTCACACCAGAACACACAAATCAGTTTCAGATCGATTGTACTATCTGTATGTGACATGTCAAACAAAATTAAAGGGGAACAAAGTAGTGGAACATCTCGATGACCTTAGAGTAGGCAACTCTCTCTTAAATAGGGTAGCTCCAAAGAAGCGGGACTGAAATCCCCACAATAACCATAAGGGAGAAAATGGATATGTTGGATTATATTAAAATTAAGGATTTTCCTTAACTAAGACACCGGGAAGAGAGACAGACCACAGTGTGTTTGCCACACACATATCCAACAAACAGTTCATATTCAGAATATGTAAAGAACTCCTAGCAATTATAGAAAAGCAACCAAGTAGAAAAATGGCAAAAGAGGACATCTAAGTGGTCAATAATAAATAGATGAGTGGTTACTCAGCTTCATCAGTCGCTAGGAAAATCACAGTGTCATACCATTACCCATTCACTAGGATGGCTAAAATGAGAAAAATGGAAAAAAAAATAAATGTGTGTGTGTGTTGGAGGTGGGCGGAGCCCCAGAACACTCAGGCACTGCTGGGGGAAGTCAGGCGGGTTCACGAGCAGTTGTTTGGTGGAATCTGTTAAAACCTTGGTGACCCCAGAGCTCATTCCCAGGTTGTACATCCACCTTCGGCATCCCCAGACGTCCAGGGCACTGCTTATCATAACCAAAAAAAAGGTGACATACCACACAGCATCACCTGTAGACGGGATAAAGAAATCATGGGGTGGCTGCTAACTGAATCGCCCACACCAGTGAGAACAGACCGTGACCCACATGAGTGGTTCAGCGGGGACTGGACCACACAGCACATGCCAGAAAGGCCTGAGACAGGAAAGGCTGCTCTGTTGTTCTGAAGTTCGGGTAATGATGACCTTGGGGGAAGAGAGGGCAGAGGGGGCTTTCAGAGTGCTGGAAAGGTGGTTTCTTCATCTGGACACTGGTTCCAGGTGTGTCTACTCGGCAGAGTTTACCTGAGCCGCACACCTCTGTGACCTTTCTGTTTGCATGTTCAATAGAAGCTTTTCAAAGCTTCCAAGTGACTCCAGGGTGCAGTCAAGGTTGAGAACCACTGGTGTAGACCCCAAAGTGACTTACAGGCATGAATTTGGGTATTTTAAATGGGTTTGTGAAAACCTGAGACTGAAACCATGGACAAGGGCAACCTTGTGCAGAGGTGTGTGTTCACCTTTGTCCTTTCTCTCCACACGAGCTTTCATTTCTGAATTGCTTTGTTTGCCAGAAACTCTGCTGAGTGATTTGTGTAAATCACCTCTCACAAACAGGCGTCTCCTCTTAGTAGAGGTGTGGAAGCTGCACCTGAGAGGTGAAGAAGGTGCCCAAGGTCAAAGCTTCAGGGAGTTGTGCTTGGCACACGGTGTCCTCCCACTCTGAAGGCTGCTCTGCCTGCCGCCGCACGGCCCATCCGCACAGGGTGTTCTAGCACCTCTGGCTCAGCGTGTTCCCAGCTTGGGGGTGTCAGGCTGGCAGCAACACTCAGCAGATTCCTCAGGACCCCAGACCAAAGCTTTGCAACAACTTTCTGCTTCTCAGAAACATCTGGCAGGACCCCCCTATGACATCCTCTCTCTGGCATTTTCCCTTTCTAAGGCTTCGTTCAAATGTGGGGGTGATGGGCAGATCCAGTGATTGTTTATTATTTGAAGTTCCACTTGTTAAAGCTAGAGAAGAGTCTTTTCTCTGGTGGAGAACAAGGTGACCGTGTAGAAGCAGCGAGTCATCCACAAAACAGTTTCAAGACACAAAATGTTCCCAAAATAGAGCAGACTGAAAGGAGCATCAGCCAAAACACCCTGTCAGATGTCAGCTGTGGACTCAGAAGAATTGGTTTTATGATGAAATGCAGTTGAAACGTGGATTTCTTTGAGTTTCTTTTCCTGACACGTACTATTACTTACCAAAAGGCTTGGTTTTCTTCTGTTTTTCTGTAGTAAATTTGTTTACCAAAGGAAACATCAGAACTTTTTCAAACTCCGTGTTACCCCCATAAACATGACTTCTTGACCTCGAAGCTTCAGCTGGCTCTCGGGGTTGCTTGTTCCCACCCTGGAAAGCATCCTTCTTCCCAGCCTGGCCAGCCCTGGGGCAGTGTATCCAATCAGGAGAAGCCTTTCTCCTCTCATAGAATTTTAAAGCTGGTGTAACGCTCCGTATTTGTGGCCAGCCCACCCCCCGCCCCCCTCCTGGCCCAGGAAGCTCTCAGGACAAGAGACCTTAGACCTGAGGGACTCGGGGAGTAAAGGCGGTGTTTACAATGCCAGTCATCTAAAGTGGGCCTTGAAGCCCGGAGTGTCCTTTCTCCTGGGTTTCCAGTTAGGAAAACTCTCATCTACCATCCACAATGCTTGTCTCTTTTTAGCAGAATGGGGTAACAGACACAGATTGTACAGTCAAATTGCATTAAGTGCTTAAACTTATTTATTCGTAACTTGGCCTTCTCTCTCTCTCTCTCTCTCTCTCTCTCTCTCTCTCTCTCTTTTTTTTTTCCCAAAGAAACTTCCCTTCACCATCCCGGAGCTGGTACAGGCATCTCCGTGCCGGAGTTCAGATGGAATTCTCTACATGGGTAAGCATTCCTGATCTCAACCTGGAAATGTGCCTATCTTTGGAAATAAGTCCCAGAATCTGGGCAGGCGGGGTGTGAGAGAGAGAGGCGTGCGCTCACTCCCTCGCCAGCCCTTCTGGGAAAGGTCTTCTGAGCCTGGGTTGTGCTTGTTCCCATCAGGATCAGCTGACCAATTAAGAGAGGGTTCCCCCACTTGGGAACAGACTTGACACCATTAAAAAACGGTTACTCATTTAACAAGCTTTTCACTGCCATATTGACCTCCCCCTGTGATTTAAAGATTGCAACATACCCAGAAGCAATTGGATGAAATTTAAAGTGAACATAATCAGGGGGCCTCCCTGGTGGCGCAAGGGTTTAAGAACCGCACTATGAAGTAGTCCTCAGCCTCTGCAGCATGAGTTCGATCCCCGGCCAGCCAGGGAGCAACCCACATGGTGCAGCAGACCTCTCCTGTCTCGCCCACTGCTCCCCTCAGCAGTGTATTTCGGTCAGCCTGCCTGTTCTGCTCCCCACTGTCTCTGGTGAACCCTCTCAACCCCCCCACCCCGATCTCTGGCCTGTACCCCAGCTCTTGTATGCTTAAATAAATCTTAAAAAAAAATAAAGTGAATATAATCATCTGAGCCAAGAAAGGGAAACCAGGCTCTGCCCATTAATTATAGGGCTTTCTTAGTATTTCCTGCTCTCAGAATATTGGCTAAAAGCAGCACTTAACAGCTTGCTAGATAAGCCGCCTTCATACCTGGCTGGGGTCACATCTTTCAAAGCATCAGATCACCTGCCTTTCTTTGACCATGTTGCTGCCAAAATGTCAATAAAAATGCATTTGTAACACAAAGGAGAGCTGTGTTTACCTTGAAATCGCAGTGGTAATAGTGCCCTGTGTTTGCACAGCAGCCTTCTTTCTGAGGAACTGGAAGTACTCAGTGTCTGTCCATGCCGCGGGGATTTCATGTGTATTGCTGGGCCTCCAGCGCAGGACAGGTTTTAGTGTTTGCTCGGGACACTGGGGCCCTTGCTTCCTTCCGCACCTTCAGATTGGGGACCCTCAGCCCAGAGATCCCGGGGAAGCGGTTGCACCCACTTTCTCTCTCTGGGCCCGGGCCCACCCTGTCACTGTCTGCTGCCTGGGCTTCCGCTTTGGCCACGCGCTATCGCTTAGGGTGCATTTAAGGTGCTGTGTTTCCATCGTCTTGAGAGTTCATTAAACACTGAAGATTGGGGTAACTGCCCAATCTGTCCGCTTGGGAGGCAGCTGGGCTCTGCGGCTGGGATGCTCCTAGAAGTCACCGGAAGGGTGCCTGCTGCATGGAAAGGGACTGAGTTCGCAGCTGCTCGGCCATTCTTCACTCTGCCGGCAGATCCTTCTCATATTTAGATGTTTAGCACTGAGACAAAGTCCCAAGCTGTGGACAGGAGTCACACAGGGCGAGGGTCCCACGCCTTTTAGAACCACGGGTCGTGCAGGCAGGTTTTGAGTTCCTGCGGTCTTCCCACGTCTTTGTACTCTGCTCCAAGAGTCCCTTGAAATAGGAGACTTGGCCAATACGTTAGGGAGACACAGTGAGCAGAGGCCCCGCCTGCCACAATAGAAGCGTGCCTGTGACGGTGAACATGTGGCCGTCGGGGGTGCCGTGCTGCCCGCTCACTGTCCCCAGGCCGCTCTGAGCCTCATACCCCGGGTGACAGGCTTTGCCTTCTCCTAGCAGTGTTGCTGGCCGTGCTCCCTCCTGTTCGTGCCTTGTCATCCTCTGGGCAAGGTGAGGGCTGTGGCCTGGGCCAGGGAAGAGCTGGCTGGGACAGGGCTGAGATGACTTTGGCCTCATTTACACCAGACTGCAGCCAGCGCCAGGTACCAGGTACCAAAGCAATGACATCTACGAGTTACCAGCCTGCTGGGTTTGGAGAACCTCACCGTGACTAGGTTATTAAGTTGCCATAAGACCCACTGGCCTGAGGGTTACCACAGGCATGTGCTCCACACCCTCAGGACGTCAGAAGGTCAGGCTGGTCTCAGCACGGAGAGCATTGTGCTGGTTTGGCAGTGGTGGTTGATTCCATTCCAGGACAAGTATCAATGAAGAGGTGTGCTGTGTCCTTTCAGGTAAAAAACAGGACATCTGGTATGTCATCGACCTGCTGACGGGGGAGAAGCAGCAGACTCTGTCGTCGGCCTTTGCAGACAGTCTCTGCCCGTCCACCTCTCTTCTGTATCTTGGGCGAACAGGTAAGGAGGAACCTTCTGTCGCCTGTGACCCACCTGGTTCCATAAAAGGAACTGAAGTAGCCTCCCTCCCGAGCCCCCAACTGCCCCCCACCCCTGTTACCCAGAGGCCTCCCGGCTTCATCTTGTAGCAGGTGGCCAGAGTGGTCTTCTCCAAGCACAGATGTTCCCACACTGCTCCACTTTAGAAGCCCCCCTGGCAGTCTCACTCCACAAAGCCACTGACGCAGCTGCTCCCTCTTCCCCTTCCTCCTGTTTCATTTCCCTCACTTAGAGGTGTTCCTAGATGAGCAGGGCTCTCTTTGAAAAGCCTAGGCGTGGTTGGTCTCTCTCCCTGAGGCGTGCATGGTTTTGCTTCTCTGGCCAACACCCTTTCCTCTTTCACAACACTACTCAGAAGCCATCTTTGCTGTCAAGCCCCTCCTTTAGATTAAGCCGTGCGCGCCCGGATCTCTCCCCGCTGGGCTGTGAGTGTGCTGTGGGTCAGCACTCCTAACAAGCACCTTAAATCTTAGGGCCCAAAGAAGGGTCTCACAGCCTCCCCCTTGATTTTAGCTTGACCCTGAGGTCATTTTTTATGGGTACTTTTGCCTTCTCAATTTGTACACTGAGCACCGTTTCCAGCTACAGTCACTCCCAGACCCTCTGTGCTTCCTCTGTATTCCGCTAGAAAAGTGATGGCTTCTTCCTTAGCTTGCTTGTCTAGTGTTTTATCATAGAAGTTAAGAGACTCCTCCCAGCCCCTTCTGCATTCCGCCTGGAGCTCTCAGCCAGGTGCACAGGTGCAGGAGCCTCTGTTTTCCAAGTCACCGCACACAGTAGTCTTATTAACGATGCTACCGCTTCTCCCCTCTACGACTGCTCCATCCCTCTCCGCAGCTTCCTGTGGCTTTTCCCTTGCTGTTCCTCCAGCCTCCACCTCAACCTCCTCGCCTCCATCAGTCACCTGCTCCCCAAGGCCGCTCCCCGGCTTGTAGCCTCTGCCGTGGCACCATCCCACTTCTAGGTGCCAAGAGCTACCTACTGCTACATCATAAGCCACCCCAAGCCAAGTGACTTTACCCACACCGTGACCTGCTCATAACCCCGGGAGCCCTGAGTTCCAGGCACAGCTGTTGGCCGGGCTCACTCCTGTGTTTGGGACTCAGTTCTCCTCCCTGTGGCCTTTCTTCCCCATGCGCACTTTGACACACCACTTAGGGAGGGTTTTCCTGCTGCAGTTAGTGCCGCAGGCCTCTAAGTGAAAAACATGGGGGTGTCTGTTCTCCAGAGTACACCATCACCATGTATGACACCAAAACCCGAGAGCTCCGCTGGAACGCCACCTACTTCGACTACGCTGCCTCGCTGCCGGAGGATGACATGGACTACAGTGAGTGCCCAGGGCTCAGCGCCCGGAACTGGTGACCTCGAGGAAGCAGCCGCTGTGGGGAGCTGGTTGTCCTTATGGCAGTTTGGGCACCAGGTTCTGGACTGAGAATAAGGGCCCAGCAGTCAGTTCCAGACCCCTGGAACACAGGGGCCTGGAGGTGAAGTGTGGAGAGGACCCCAAGGAAAATGCAGGCCAGGTCAGCCTGACAGGCAGGAGGGCCACCTTGTGGAGTCCTTCTGTGTCACAGAAGGAATTTACTAGACATCCATGGGGAGCAGAATTAAACATCAGCCACCCGCTCCCTGAATCTGTGGCTTGTGCCCTGGTTATTTCTCTAGTAAAGATTCCCCCAGGTTGAAATGAAAACTCAAACCAACTTTGCCACCTTGACACTGGCATCTGGAGGTCCTTCTGCCTTTCTTTTGTCTCTGGGCAGTCCTCTGCGGTCTGGTGAGGGCAGTGTATGGTCAGTGGGTGGGCTTGAAGTGATTGCTGTTGGTGCCAAATTCATAGGCATCCTCATTGGCTCCTTTCTCTCAGTGTCTCCTCTCACGAACTTTAATAGAACGCTGAGGAATGTCACCAAGTCAGTGGCCCTGGAAAGAGGGGCTCTAGCTTACCTTTACAAACCAGCAGGTCTCGGTGTCTTCATACAGTAGAGCCTGGGCGAGCTCATTGGGAACAAGGGAAGTTGTTCAGAGGGCACCCCAGAACACTCCAGAAGTCTGTTTCCTCTAGCTGGGTGACAGCAGCCTGCCCAGAGTGGAGGATGTGGTCGATGGGGTGAGGCTCATCAGACATCACTTATCTGATCCATACAGAGATGTCCCACTTTGTGTCCAATGGCGATGGGCTGGTGGTGACGGTGGACAGTGAATCTGGGGACGTCCTGTGGATCCAGAACTATGCCTCCCCCGTGGTGGCCTTTTACGTCTGGCAGCGGGAGGGTCTGCGGAAGGTGATGCACATCAACGTGGCTGTGGAGACCCTGCGCTACCTGACCTTCATGTCCGGGGAGGTGGGGCGCATCACCAAATGGAAGTACCCCTTCCCCAAGGAGACGGAGGCCAAGAGCAAGCTGACGTGAGTCAGGGGACCTGGGGCACGAGTGGGCAGTGGGCCTGGCTCTCTGTCCTGTCGCAGGGTGGTGTGCATGGGCTCCAGCACACAACTCTGAAGCCATATTCTCATGCTGAACCACTGACAGAGCTAACCCCCACCCTCCTTGATGCCCCAGACAGGGGTCCAGAGGCCACACTCAGTTTGGGATTTCTTGTGCATGCCTCCGCTTTGGGCAAACAGATTAGAGTAGTTGACTTTTTTTCTGTGGAACTTCTAGAAGGTTCTATATCACAAGACAGAATGGTGGTGGTTCAGGTCAGGGCTGTCTCAGCTTGGCAGTGGCTGCCAGCATTTGGTTTCTCCCGTGTGGTGGCTGCCTGAGGCCTCGCAGGTCACTCTGTGGATGGCTGGTGCACGTGAGGGGGCTGAGGCCTGCCCTGAGGCGGTTCATGCACCTGGCAGGTGGGGAGTATAGCCGGGGCCTGCAGCCTTGCTCTCCTGGCTCCCAGGGCTCTGCCCTTGCCCCACATTCTCACTGCTCAGAGTATGGGGGTGGGATTGAGGGGGCTCGCCTGTTTTCTTAATATTTCTCTCCCTAAAGCCTCCTTTTGTGGGACCCAGAAATGAAATGACTGGGGAATACATGTGTCTGTTTTTCCCTTAGGCCCACCCTGTATGTTGGGAAGTACTCCACCAGTCTCTACGCCTCCCCCTCCATGGTTCACGAGGGGGTCGCCGTTGTGGTAAGTACCCTAGGGAGGCAGGTGAGGGTGGGGAGACGTAGCCTCCCAACTGCCCCTGTTCCATTATAGCAACTAGAATCATATATAAACATCCCACTGGTTAAGAGTGCAAAACCCTCACACCTAATTTCTGCACATGCCGCGTTCTACTTTATAAGGAGACATGTGTAGCAAAAGCAGCTAAGAGCAGCTTTGTAAGCTGAGCACACGTTGGTCATTCCTTCCTTTCTTGTTCAGATCTGAACTGCCCAGGTGATATTCACAGCCCTGTCCGGTCCCCTTGTCCCCTTCTCCACGCTGCCTGTGGGAGTTGCCTGGTCTCACCAAGGGCATCTTCTCCCTGATTTCCCAGTGTTCCCTGTTGACCTTTTTTTGGTCTTTGTTCAGTGTGCCAGAACCTTCAAAAGCCCACCCTTGCTCCTACTCCATCCCTTCTATCCTTTCATGGCCTATCCTGGTTCCTCGGACCTCACCTGCCTGCCTGCCCCCAGCCTCTGCCTGTCCCTGGGCCTCTGTCTCTGTGCATTGGAGGCATCGTGATCATGGCTGCTGGTTTGGCTCTTACAGTGTCTGGACTGCTCCGTTGGCATCTCTTGTCTCGTGTCTGTCGGCTGCTCCTGTGAGCTGGGTGGCATCTGCCTGGGTGGCTGCTCCATCCGTGCGTGCTCTGGGCTTCCAGCTGGAGCTTACTGCACCCCAGCCACTGGCAGCCCCTCATTTAAGTCTGCTTCTCACAGTAGCCTCTTGGAATTGCACACACACCCTTCCTATTTCCCAGCTCCCAGACTTAATTTTAAAAGATGACTGCATGAAAGATGCGGTCCCGTCCCAAGGGAGGAGCTTCTCCCCCCAGTCTTAGGGCCTTTGTGTCTTACTCTGGGTGCTTGGGCCAACCCCACCCAAGGTTCAGCACCCTTGGAAGATCTGCAGCCCCGGCCTCACCCACTTCTGTCTTCACAGCCCCGAGGCAGCACCCTTCCTTTGCTGGAAGGCCCCCAGACCGACGGTGTCACCATTGGGGACAAAGGCGAGTGTGTGATCACGCCCAGCACGGACCTAAAGTTTGACCCTGGTCTCAAAGGGAAGAACAAACTCAACTACTTGAGGAACTACTGGCTTCTGATAGGTAAGCGCTCTGCACCCAGGGTCAGCGTCCTGCCCCCTGGTGGCGGAGGGTGGCCTTGCTGGTGCCGGCTGCCCAGCGCTGTGACCCGTTGGTCTTTCAGACCTTGGGACCTTTTCACCCCCAAGGAAAGTGAACAAGGTAAATGTGTGTCACCAAGTCAATTCTCAAAAAGTGGCTAATGTCCCATATTTCAGGTACTACACAATGTAAACTTTGGGTGGTTATGTGGCCTGTTGAATGCCTCTTAAAGTCATAGGCTCTAAGCCTTTTTCTTATTTATCTTTTTTATTTCTGAGCCTTTTAATAGACATTGCAAATTTTCTAATCCAATCAGACTTTGTGTGTAAAATATTTACAAAGCAAAAAAATACAATCTGAGTGAGGCAGTGAATCTGATTAACACCAGGCTCCATCTCAACCGAACTCAGGAAAGGAACGTGAAGCCTGCCGGAATGTGTACGTCCGGGGAGGGCACTAAGCCCTGGTCCCTGTTCTCACAAGCCACCGTTATTTCCATTTCTGGCTCAGGCAGTTTCCATGGCAGGATTCACTTGGAACCAGGGTGGGGTGAGGCTGTGGGGAGGGGAGGGTTGAGAGCGGTGAAGAGGCAGGGGCTGGACTTGGGTCCAGGAGCCGGGCAGAAGCCCTGGGCACAGGTCGGGTTATGTGGGGCCTTTTTACCTTTTCTGCCCGTTGTTGCCGACACCACTGATGGCCCCGGGGTTGAATTGGGGGCCTGTCAGCCAGAGAGATAAGAGGTTGAGATGACACCGGAGGCAGTGAGTGTGACAAACAGAGGCAGAGCCAGCGAGAGGAGCAGTGTCTGGCAGAAGCCCCAAATAATTGGAGCAGGGCGGACTGGACTTGTCCTTCCTGTGCCCTCTCCCCAGGCTGGTGGGGATGCGGGTGGGGATGCAGCCTGGGGGACAGGGTAAGTGGGTATGGCAGAGCACGGGGCGGTGAGGGGGGACTGATGAGGTTTCTGCTCCCCTTTTCACGGACTGGTGTCCGGGCAGGAGGGGGCAGGGGGTGTCGGAAAGGGCTATGGCGCTGCCTGGTGAGTGTGGGGCTCAGGGGCCGCAGCAGCAGCCAGGCGGGGGGACTTGGCTGGGGAGGGCGGTCCTGGGTGTGCCCAGCCCTGGTCACTTCCATTGTGCTTGTCCAGCACTAGTTCTTTGTTCATCCTGACTCCTTGTAACCGTTTTTCCTTTGGTTATGATTTTTACCAAATAATGGGCGGAGGAGGTGATAAAATAATTCCAGCCTTCTTGAACGGAAGTCCTTTGGAAGGCATGGGAGAATGGCCCAGGGTGAGGAAGGAGAAATCACTGAGAAGCAGTAAAATGAGTCCACTTAGCTTGGGTGGCGCCATCTGGGGGTTCCCTCAGAGCAGTGGCCCTAACCTGGGGTGTACACATGACCCCTGCATGCACTGGGGTGCCCTAAGTTGGGTCAGAGCCTTTGCTTTTTGCTCCAGAGCCTGGACAGAATTGACGATGATAGAGAGTTCACCAGGTCTGGGTAGTTTGTACAAAAATGTGTCTGCACCTCGTGATCCCGTTTGTAGAACAGTTGGCCTAGAATGTGCGGCGTGATGTGGAGAAGCCTGTTTGTAAGATCTGCAGGAGGAAGAGGGACTTGGGCTGCTCACTTCCACAGCGGGTGTTGGTGGAGGCCCAGCAGAGAGGCCGGGCTTCGAGCATCGAGAGCAGGCCCTGGGGCAGGGCCCAGCGGACAGGCGCTGCAGTGACTCTTGGAGCAAAGGTCTCTTGTTAGCGACCTTTGTTAGGGCCAGGAGGTGCTTGAATTCAACTCCCAGGCCCCCCCGGCACCAGCGAGTCAGGGGTCTGACTGCAGCAAAGCCGGTCTCAGAGTCCTCTCAGCCAGCTGGTGGTGGCTCAGAACAAGAGCAGGTGTCCCTTAAGGAACACCTGGATCTTGCTGATAGCAGATGACCTAAAGATAGGGAGTGAAAGAGAATTTTTCCACATGAAGACACGGGCAGCTCTGGTTGGTTTTCATCTTGGCAACACAGAGCATAACATCCGGGTAGGTTTGGGGGAACAATGGAAAGATCACCGGGTGAGACCTGAATTGGGGAGAGATCTGATCTCAGTGAGAGAACAAAAGAGAGAGGGTGTCAGGGTGTGGACAGCCTGAGGGGCCTCTGAGCTCCACCTTCCCAGTGGTAAGAGGCGTCTGATGCTAGAGCTAAACAGCCTGTCAAGCCCCGTCAGACCCCAGTTCCTCGTTTTGTTCAAGTTTGTCTCCCATGGTAGCCTGTACACAATAGGTGCTCAATAAACGTGTGATGAACACAGGGTAGTCAGGACACTCGTCAGGGCATCGCAGTGCAGAGACCAACAAATGGACGCCGAGGGCTCTAACCCTTTCTCCATCCAGCAAACCCGTCTGCTGCTGTCTTGGGTCACTCCCTGCACTCCCGGGACGGGGCCCACATTCAGCAGGCCTCAAGCTCCACCTGAGCAATTTCAGTACTGACATGGGAGCCCCTGTGTGGAGGGCGAGAACGAGGTGCACATTCAGGGGTGGGGCAACCTAAACTCTGACTTCTCCACACAAGGCTTCCTGCGAGCAGACCCCAAACATCTGCGTCTCTTCCAGTTGTGAGAAATTCAAAATGCTGTGTGCCGCCGCGGGTAGAGAAATGTGCGTCCTGATGGAACCTCCCTCACCCTCTGAACATGGGCCTGGGCTCTGTGGCCCCTCAGCAGCAGTGGAGGCTGCTGCCTCAGCTTCCTGCAGGGGACAACCTGGCGCACGGTTCTCATTGGAGGCTTCTTCTGTCGCAGGTCACCATGAGACCCCGCTGTCTGCATCCACCAAGATGCTGGAGAGATTCCCCAACAACCTGCCCAAGCATCGGGAAAACGTGATTCCAGCCGACTCGGAGAAAAAGAGCTTTGAGGAGGTAAGTGGGGAGCGAACTGTAGAGACCATCGGGTGGGGCGGGTACAGCCTTTGCCTCAAGAACTTGTCTGCTCAGCCGCGGAAGAAGCTCAGGAGGGACTCGGAGGCAAACTACCTCCCGGAAAGGATAATGGGGAGGGAGTGGAAGCTATTTGTGAAGCCAGGAGGACTTAAAGGTGGGGGCTTTCCTGGGGGGAGTGCTGCAGAGGCTACGGGAAGGAAGAGAACAGTGTGGAAAGGGCCTGGAGGTGGGCATGGGCAGCTGAGAGGAGACTGGCACAAGCAGATCCAGGTAGGGAGCACATGGCCACAGAGGAACCACGTTGCTAGGCCCTGAGGTAGCCTGTCAGCAGAGTGGAGCTGACGTGGAAAGGAAGTGGGGGGACCTCAGGTGTTTTGAAGCAAGGCGCAGCCTACTGGAAGTGGCTGACTTGGCTTCTGTACATTAGTCCCTGGGGAGGCCTGCCCAGGTGGTGGCTGCTGGGAAGCTCTGACCTGTGGCCCGCCTGCAGCCCTGGGGCAGTAGGGTGAGCTTGTCAGGGTCTGGGAAGGAGACAGGTGCTGCCCAAATTAGGATAATTTGAGGGGGCATTTAACAGAGGGGAGTCACACAGATGTGGCCCTGTCCAGGACTTCTCTTAGCATCATCTGGCCTGAAGTGGAAGGGAAGGAGCTCTGTATCCTTGGAGACCAGCAGCACAGAATTTACTACTCGCTGGCCACGTGCGTGTGCACATGCCGTGGAGCAGCACCAAGTAGCACTGGCCACCAGGCTTTTCCCCGGACTCTGTTGCCATAATCTCAGCGTCTCCCCAGGTGTCAAACCCATCATCAGAGGAGGCCATTGCTGCCTCCACTGAGAAATTTTGAAAGAAGATAGAATCTGAAGCTACTTCCAAAAATGATGCCATACACACTGCTGCTGAGCGATAGCCACGTTCCCGCAGCAGTGCCTGGCCCCTCGAGGCCTTCCCTTTGGAAAGAGGCCACTGTCACCTGCCTTTGCAGAGAGCTTAGAAAACAGCAGCCCCTTTTCCAGCGTGGTCACCCCCACGCGATGGTATCACTTCTCTCGATTGTTTTTGGCTTGTTCATACCTGGTGAGAAATTGTGCAGTGATGTGTCACTCTCTCCCTGCCCAGGTCATCGACCTGGTTGGCCAGACCTCAGAGAACACACCCACCACCGTTTCTCAAGATGTGGAGGAGAAATTCTCTCATGCCCCCGCCAAGCCCGAGGCCCCCGTGGACTCCATGCTCAAGGACATCGCCACCATCATCCTGAGCACCTTCCTGCTCATCGGCTGGGTGGCCTTCATCATCACCTACCCCCTGGTAAGGCCGTCCGCTCCCCGCCCCTTGTTTATGAGCTGCAGAGTGTCTGATGTCAGCGGGATAGAAACAGCAAACAAGCAGATAGTTTCTTTTCACATTTAAGTCAATATTTGCTTCTCTTAAAAAAATTAGAACTAAATAGACACCAGCTTTCCAGGGAAGCAGTTAACCAACTGTAAAAGCCGTTTCGTGAACCTCACTGGCAGAGCCTTGAATAGTTAACCGTATTTTCTTTTTAAAGAATAACCATCATAGTAGAAACACTGTTTAACTTCCCTCGCTGAAAAACTACCTGTCCGAGACATCCGCTGGGGTGGAAAAGACAGCTCGGTAATTCCTTTGACTTTCAATAAATGAGCTCAGATTATGTAGTTTGGTCGTTTGGGGGTAGGATAGAATATTCTAGAGGAACAGTTCTTCAACAAGGACACGAGCCCAGGAAGCCCAGACCCCACTGAAGAACAGGCCCCACACACCCACCAAGCACTTGGCGTCTGAGGAATGTATCTGGCTGCTTTGTTTTCTGTTTCACCTCATGTGGCCCTGTGAGGTCATTAGTGTTGACCCCTGACCCCCTGAAGAAACTGTGCTCTAGAAAGTCAAATAACTTTCCCAAAGTCACTCAGCCAGTAGAGGGCATCTCCAGGTTTCAACCCAAGAGAGGGTGGGGGCGCTGGAAAGCTCTGCGGTGACCCGTACACTAGCAGATCGGTCAGCTCCCATGGGAGAGGAGCGTGGGGGTGTGGGGGGGGGCAGCGCCGTGAAATGGGGTTGGGGGGCAGGACCTTGGCCAGCTGTCCATCTTCAGCCCACTCTGCCCCATTCTGGCAATGTGGCCTCGAGGTTCTGAGCCCCGTCTTCCTCCCCTGGGTGGCTCATTGCCAGAATAGGCAGCAAAGCCCAGTCTTCGCCTCTCCCACCACACTCAGCCACCTGAGTAACCTTCCTGTTCGTTTTCACTCTTGCAGCAACTCCCAGACTTTCATAAAAGTCTGAGAATTTTATAATTGAAAGACATCCCCGCCCTCTGGCCCAGCCCTCCACCTGGGGCAGAGTCCCTCCTCTGCCAGGCCCCTCCAGCATGGGGAGTGGGCATATGGGGGCGGGTCTAACTGGCAGTTACTGAACCGATAGATTCCACCCCCTGGGCCTTGCCCCTGGTCTTGCAGTCATGTGCAGTGACCCTGCTTCCTCTGTCCTGGGAGCCTCTCCTTGCCTCCCCCTGGTTTCCCGGGCAGCGGGCACTCATCTGCAAATGTGTCTCTCTTCCCAGAGCATGCATCAGCAGCAGCAGCTCCAGCACCAGCAGTTCCAGAAGGAATTGGAGAAAATTCAGCTCCTGCAACAGCAGCAGCTGCCCTTCCACCCACCTGGAGACTTGGCTCAGGACGCTGAGCTCCTGGACTCATCTGGCCTCTACTCAGAGAGCTCAGCCACCAGCAGCCCCAGCACGTCACCCAGAGCCTCCAACCACTCGCTGCACTCCAGCAGCTCTGCCTCCAGAGTGGGCGCCTCCCTGGAGCAGGACGATGAGGGTAAAGCGAGTTGCCGTTCTGTCCTATCTTCTCTTTCATTTGAACACCAGCCAAGAGTCACAGGGAGCCATGTCCTTCCTGGAGTCTCTGTGGGATTATCAAGTGCCTTTGCAAGGGTCCATCATGTCGCTCCCAACTCCCTCCCATTTTGCCTCCTCCCCCACGAGGGCCTTATGGGGCTTCTGGACCCTCCCTCCACCTGGCTCCACAGGGGTGGGGTGCGTGGCTGACCAGGGGCGCGGTGGCCATCTGCCCAGAGCATTCCTGAGGCCAGCCAACGGCCACATCTAAAGATGTAACTGTTGAACCACTGTCCTCTGGGAAGTTGGGTCAGGCTGGTCATTGGCCAGTAATCTGAGTGGACTCGTGCAGAACCAGTGCCAGAGACCTCGAAGTCTCAAGCTTGGCTACTGGTGTTTTTTATTTCACACATCCACTCCCTGGGCATTCCAGGTGCAAATCTTCGAGTTGGATCTCTGGAGAACCCTGTCTTTGGGAAAGTCATACATCCTTATAGGCCGGAATAGAGGGCAGGGCCTCAGGCCGGGGAGCAGGGTCCCCGGATGCGAGTGGGGAGGTACTCGGGCTACAGCTGCTGAAATCCCATCTCTGAGTTGCAGCCCAGGAAGCTAGCTTGAGGCTGAAATGCCTGCAGGCCCTGTAGGTTATGTGTGTTTGCAACGGCCTCTTTTCCTCATTTTGTCCTAGATGAAGAAACCAGCATGGTGCTGGTTGGGAAAATTTCATTCTGTCCCAAGGACGTCCTGGGCCATGGAGCTGAGGGCACAATTGTGTACCGGTGAGTGGACGAGAGCCCTGAGCCGTCAGCACCTCCCTTCCAGAGCTGCTCAGCTTGCAGGTGGCGGGCAGCTCCTGGGCACAGCAGGCTCACAGCGGCCACCACAAAGGAAGAGTTCAGCCGGGGGAGGGAAGTGATGGCCACAGGGCTGCCCAGTGGCCTCTTAGGGTCCCCTGGGCTGTGGGCTGATGAGCTGGACATTGCCACACCCGAGCTGGTCCCCGCTGCCCCTTGGGGTGCCTCTGGGGACTTCCCTCATTTCCACAGCCCACCTTGCACTCAAAGCTGAGCCCGCTCCTTTCCTGCAGGGGCATGTTTGATAACCGAGACGTGGCCGTCAAGAGGATCCTCCCCGAGTGTTTCAGTTTCGCCGACCGTGAGGTCCAGCTGCTGCGAGAGTCGGACGAGCACCCGAACGTGATCCGGTACTTCTGCACCGAGAAGGACCGACAGTTCCAGTACATCGCCATCGAGCTGTGCGCAGCCACCCTGCAGGAGGTGGGCCCGCTGCTGTGCCGCTGCTGCAGCCTCCCGCTCCCGGCCGCCAGGCCTGGCAGCAGGCCTGCGCATTTGTTTTTATTCAGTGAACACTACTGAGGTCACAGCGCTATAGAAGACACCCGTTTTAAGTGGGTGGCAGGATGCCTTTTCACAAGGATGGCCCCCTCAGCCTGCCTGCCTGGGGCAGTCTTTGGTTGCAGTTAGCATTTTTCCCGTCAGGCTTCCAGGAAACCTGCTCCTTCCTCCCATCGCTGGGTAGGGCTGGCGTGGGCTGGCCTTGCTGGCTGGTGGCTCAGTCATTCAGACACACCCAGCGACTCACTCTCCAGGCTCCAGGAATCTATTTCAGTGTCATGTGACTTCACATGTGGGTTTCCCTGTGTGGGCAGTGGGCTTGAGTCTCTTGTCTCTGAGCTTCCTCATTGCAGAGCAACCAGATGGAGCTTGCTTGTCTAAAGTATCCTGTGACTTCAGGAGAAAGTCTGCAGGAAAATGCAGATTCAGCCACAGTGTGGCCAGTGAAACTACCCATTTCTTTTTAAAATATGATCAAAGAAAAGGCGCTGACTAATACCCGAGGTTAGTTAAAACAGAAAGCCCAGGCAGGAGTCTTCTAGGTTAAATGGAATCACTTTAAAAAAAGCTAAGTGTGCTGAGGGCCTCAGGCCTGCAGGCCAGGTGAGTGACCATGTCGTGTCTCTTGCAGTACGTGGAGCAGAAGGACTTTGCCCACCTGGGCTTGGAGCCCATCACCCTGCTGCAGCAGACCACCTCGGGCCTGGCCCACCTGCACTCCCTCAACATCGGTAAGAGGCTTCCCTGGCCGGGGTGGGTGGTGGGGCAGGGAGATGACATGCTCAGGCGGGCCTTGCCTGTGGCCTGGCTCTTTGCTGCATCGTGAGTGTGCAGGTGGGGCTTTGAGGTGCCTTTTGACAAGCTGTGTGAGAATCTAAGATGGGATCTGGTGCAGCTGGAAATCAGAACCGTTAGAGGTGGCAGCTGGTCTGGTCTGCCGGGAACCCAGGGAGGTGCAGGAGGAGGCCTGCATCAGACTAACCCGGAGGCTTGATTAGTTCACAGAGACCTGAAGCCTCACAACATCCTCTTATCCATGCCCAATGCACACGGTCGCATCAAGGCCATGATCTCCGACTTTGGCCTCTGCAAGAAGCTGGCGGTGGGCAGACACAGCTTCAGCCGCCGTTCCGGGGTGCCCGGCACAGAAGGCTGGATTGCTCCCGAGATGCTGAGCGAAGACTGCAAGGAAAACCCTGTGAGTCATGAGCGTAGCTCTTTGAGAGCTACAGAACCTTCCGGAGTAAGAGCCTCCGAATTCAGCCCTGCCCGTAGCACAGTTAGCTCGGGTTAGCCACGTCTTTAGAAAGATCCTCGTTGTGAACCCCAAGCACTGCTGGCATTTTCCATGTCATCTCATGTTCAAATGACCCCAAGGGGCACATGTGGGCAATTTTTGTTTTTTCCTCTATTCGTCCAGTAGCTATTTTGGGAAACTTGTTTTATCAACTTATGGGGTATTTAAATAACAAGAACAAGTAGCAATAGTAAGTTTGGGACAGGACGTAACTGATCTGTGGAGCAGCAAGTGCCCTGGGTTGCTGAATGGTACAGTGAGTAGGCGAAGAGGCTGCCAGGTGAGCGTGGGTGAGGAGGCTGACAGGAGTTGTCCCTCCTGTCCTGTCCTGTCACCCACACTATGAAAATTCTGATGAGGAAGCGTGAAGATGATCAGGTTTGGGGATCAGAAGACACCCCCTGCCCCCGACTTACCCCTGCCCCCGGTTTGCCTGTGGCCGCAGGCTGGTCATTCATTGAGCCTTCCTGTCCATGTCTTCCTCTGGGGGTGGTGACACCTGCTCTGCTCTCCTCCCCGGGTTGCTGGGAGGCCTGGTGCGGTGTTGCTCAGGGCGCATCCTCTCCAGAGCAGAAGGCAACAGGTCCTCACGTCTTGGGCGAAAATCCAAGCAGTGGAGCATAGCTCCAGGGACCCCAGCCCTGCTCGGCAGCCACCGCACCAAGTCACGGGAGCCAGAAACCCCCCATGCACGTTGCCCCAAAGAGAAGCTCATCGGGAGACACTGGGTGGTTTTACGGGATGTGTGAGAGGCGCTAGCAGTCAGCATCAGAGGCAACCTCACAGGAAACTTGTCAAATAATTGCTAAGGCGGTGTTGGAGCCCACAACTGCCTTGTTCATTTATTAGCAAAGCTCTGAGACCTGCCATGCGCGGGCTCCATTCTGGGCCCTGGGGCCACAGTGGGAAGCAGCTGCTTAGAAATTCCTGCCCACAGGGAGTTACGTGACCCCATGAGGTAGGCTAGCAGCTGGGAGAGAGCTCCGGGGTGGCTGAGCGCTGTTGAAATAACCATTTTCATGTACTAATGTGTTTCATCTTCACTGTGACCCCATGAGGTTTTCCTCATTTTATACCCGGGGCCTCGGAGGCCCAGAGCAGGCGGGGGGCTCCAGCCAGGCCATGCCCCCGACCTCGGGCTCAGAGCCCCCGTCCTCCACTGTGACCCTGACTCCCGTGTCACTCCTGCAGCGGCCGGTGCTGCTTCGAGCAGTGCCCGTAGACCAGCTGACCCCTAAGACCCCTTCAAGGTGGGAAGGGGCTGCTGGGCAAGGGTGAGTCTGCTGCTCCTGGCCTCTGACGCCCACGTGTCTTTTCAGACCTACACTGTGGACATCTTCTCCGCGGGCTGCGTCTTTTACTACGTGATATCCGAGGGCAACCACCCTTTCGGCAAGTCCCTGCAGCGGCAAGCCAACATCCTCCTGGGCGCTTACGGTCTCGACTGCTTGCACCCTGAGAAGCACGGTGAGCAGGCTGCAGGGCCGGGGCAGGCAGTGGGGGGCCGGGAGGGGGCTCAGGGGCGGCCCCCCTGCTCCCGTGTGGCCCCTGCAGGTTGGGGAGCTGCTAGTGCTATGCTCCCTGAGGCCCCACCCTCCAGCTGCTCACCCCATGGTCTCAGGGGGTTGACCACTTGGTCCAGACCAGGTGGGGCCGGGACCCCTCCTTCTAAAGCCCAGAAATTCCCTCGGAGGTACCTGCAGGTCACAAAATCACCTGTGTGACCCCCTTCGTGACCTCTGCTTTCTGGCTTGTGACTTGCAAGGGTTAAACAATCTGAGATCCCCTCTGCACTGACATTCAGGAAGATGAACAGTCCACGCTGCACACTCTGGACTTGTGTTGGCACAGGGGCAGCAGGGGCACCCCAGCCTCACCCCTGCGCAGGTGCCACCTGCTTTCCCGCCCTCAGGGCTTCCTGCGTCAGAGCTGGCGCGGGACATCCCAGTGTCACCTTCTGAAAAAATTTAAACCGACTTATTGTTTTGCTTATGGTTTAATTTTCCTTCTTCCCTGTTTAAAGAGAAAAAAAAAACAGTTTAGAAAAAACCCGCATAATTCCAGTCTATAGTGATGCATGACTGTTCCTCACACCTCTGTGTACGCGGTTGCTGTCATTCATCTAGGCAGAAATGCCCGGTTTTGCTGGGATTAAATAGCACACAGGATTTTGCAACACGCTTGCTCTTTCTCTTCATCTGGAGGATCCCTCCTCGTCACTCCACGGTCAGCCGCAGTCCAGTCTGTGCAGCGGTCACCTGAGGGTGTTTCCAGGGCCCCCTTTTCACAGGCTGGGGCGGGGGGATGCCCCTCCTCAGCGGCAGAGTCGTGGGGTTCCTCCCTGCTGCATGAGTGAATTGCTGTCAGTGGACTCTGGCGCCAAAGGGCGTGCAGGCTGCTCCGGTCTGGGGCGCCTCGCTGGGGTCTGGGCCGGCGATGGGAGCTCTTGCCCGTTTCCTCCTGTGCAGAAGACGTCATCGCCCGGGAGCTGATCGAGAGGATGATCGCCACGGACCCTCAGAAGCGCCCCTCCGCGAAGCACGTGCTGAAACACCCCTTCTTCTGGAGCCTGGAAAAGCAGCTGCAGTTCTTCCAGGTAGCGACGTGTGTTTTCAGCAAAAGTCCTCATTTAACTTTTTCCAATTTTGAAAATAGCGGGAAGGACACAGCACAGAAACGAGTGGTCAGGGCCAGTTACGGACGTGGGGGTGTGTTGTCTCAAAGGGCAGACAGAAAACACGGGAGGAAAATCAAAATTGATGACTTACCACTTGCGCCTGTGGCTCTGAGTGGAACGTGTGTACAGGTGTGACGTGCAGGTGGGCAGGTGTGGGCCGTCACACCTGTCTGTGCTGTGGAGACGGTCTGCGCGGGCCTCTCCCCAGGCAGCAGCAGACACATCTGCTCACCGGAGACAGTGAGCGCCAGCGGCCACCTGTCTTGCGCCGAGGCGGGCTCTGGCCCTGCCTGAGGCCCAGCAGCAGTGTCCACTGTGTTACCTACATGTCCCTCCTGCAGCCCGTACCCGCTGACCGTCGTCCGGTGCCCTTATTTCCCTCACAGGACGTGAGTGACCGAATAGAAAAGGAGTCCCTAGACGGCCCGATAGTGAAGCAGCTGGAGCGAGGCGGGCGAGCCGTGGTGAAGATGGACTGGAGGGAGAACATCACTGTCCCCCTGCAGACAGGTGACCCCTCAGCCCCTGGGAGGGGAGGGCAGCAGGAATATTTCAAACGCAGCAGCCGTTTCTAAGAAGTGAAAGTGGCGATGGCAGCTCCAGGCTGCTTGGGCTCCCTTGCCACTCGGGGTGGGGCCGCCTGTGGGGACGGCCTCTGCTCAGGAGACAGGCCCCATCGGTGCTGAGTGGGGAGCCACATTCCGCTCCAGTCTGCCTGCTTGATCCCCAGGACCCCAGGACCCGTTTTCTTTGGAAATCCTTCTTTTTTGGTTACATTGCTCTCCTTGCTTATTTTTCCCTAGATCTTCGTAAATTTAGAACCTATAAAGGCGGCTCCGTCAGAGACCTCCTCCGAGCCATGAGAAATAAGGTAAGTCTTGGGATCACGGGGGGCACGGGGAGCAGCAGCTCCCCAGCGTGCCTTCTGCATTCTCTGGGGGTCCTGTCTTCCTCGCTGGAATCCTGACTCTCAGAGGCTGGGAGGCCTTCGTTGGACTCGACAAAGTAGAGGCTGTCTCTTCCCTTCACTGGGTTTCTCTTCAGGAGGGCGGGGAGAGGAGCTGGGCGCCGGGGCGGCTCACGCGGTGTCCTCCGTGGTCTCTGCTGACTCACATGGCCCCCGCCCCCCGCCCTGATACAGCACTGAATCAGCTCCCTCTCATGGGAGCCCCCGGCGCCTTCCCACACGGGGCCTGGTTCACAGGGTGCAAGGCAGGGACCCCACTTGTTGTCTGGAGGAACCTGGAGTCCTCTTGGCCTGTGCTGCCACCAAGCAGCCTTTCAATGGGTCCCCAGCTCAGACAAGGCTCCGAGCCCATTCAGTTCCAGGCCACTCTATTCCACTTGAGGCCGCCAGAAGTCTGGGCCCCGACCGACCGTCACAGGAGGCCTGTCCCTGCCCTGCCCGGCCAGCCCCACCTCTGCTCTTCCCCCCAGGGCCCTGGCTCTGCTTCCAGGCCTCGTCCTGAGTGAGGGAGACAGACAAGGGGCGCCGGGTGGTGCGCTGGGCCCATGTGCCCTTTTCCTTGGCTTCCAGAGAACCAGCTAACATTGTGTCCTCCTTGAGTAATAAAAGGCCCTTTCCCCAGCCTTTGGGGGGCTTCCCGCTGCTAACCCCCTGCTTCTGTGTGTCCCCCACTTGCAGAAGCACCACTACCGAGAGCTCCCCGTGGAGGTGCGGGAGACACTGGGCTCCCTCCCGGACGACTTCGTGCGCTACTTCACCTCGCGCTTCCCGCACCTCCTCGCCCACACCTACCGGGCCATGGAGCTGTGCGCCCACGAGAGACTCTTCCAGCCCTACTACTGCCACGAGCCGCCGGAGCCACAGCCCCCAATGGCTCCAGATGCCCTCTGAGCCCAGGCGGCCCCCGCGCCGGCGGCCCCAGTGAGACTGAGGGCCTGGTCTTCGACCAGCACAGCCCGATGCCTCCCAGCCTAGCAGGGAGACTCGGCTTCCCAAGCAAGTGCCTTGAGCTGCCCGCTCTGCTGCCAGCAGAAGCTGGTGCTGACCTGGACGTGCAGGGGGTAACCCCTCCTGACCTGCAGGGAGCTGGGAAGAGGCTGGTGTGAAAGCTTTCCAATCGGGGACTCTGCGCAGGAGGCTCCATCGTGGGGGCCGCGAAAGGAGCCCCCTCTGCCTTCTCCTGGACACACTTGCTTCAGACTTAACGTTTCTTTCGACCCTTCTGTTTGACGTCAGCCTGTGGGCCTTTAAGGAGGAGAGCGGAGCAGATCCTAAGTTGCCTGTGTGCTGGGAAAGGAGCATCTCTGACCTAAAAACGGCCTCTGCTAGAACAGGGGTCAAGAGGTCGGGGGCTGAGGAGGAGGTGTCCTCTTGGGGGGCCTAGGGACGGAGCATGAAGGTACCAGAATCCCCGGGTCACTGTAGCCAGTGTGTCCTCAGGGCCCAGAGAGCACAGGGTGCGGGCATGATACTTCCTGCTCCAGAAGGCTCCGGTGTCTGCCGGGCTTGTAGGAACGAAGAGGACGCTCTGTTCTGGGGCAGCTGCGGCCCAGTGCACCAGTGGCCTTTGGTGGCCATTTCGGGATGTCTAGGAGCGTGTCAAGGCAAAAGGTCAGAAGTGCCCTGCTCTCGGGAGAGCAGCTAAGACCCAGGCAAGGGCAGGCCCTCGGACCGGAGGGGAGGAAGTTGAATGGGGTGCCCCTGGCCACCCAGGGAGAGTCCCGGGCAGGGGGGTTGGGGATGATGCTCCTCAGTCCCTGGGACCAGCAGGACGGGGCCGGGGCCTGGGCGCCCAGACCATGGTCACCACGTGCCTCGTGGCAGTCTTTTATGTTTTTCTTGGAAGATTTTAATAACTTTATATTTTGATCATACCTTAGGATGCTACGTTAGTGTGAGTAAGCTGAGCTTCACTTGCAGCTGACTTGTGAGGAGGAATGTGACACATCTTCTGTTTTGTGTGGTACCAAAAACCCCATCCCCTCCAGAAAAAGTGATCTCATCTAGAACATTCTCTAGTGCCGAAGAGCAAAACATAGCAACTCTCGATGCAGCAGACAATTCAGAGTAATAGTCTCTTCATGCTGTCAATGCCAAGCTGGTTCTTTTTTCCCCCTAAAATTGTGGAGTACAGTATTTAACTTTTACTTTCTGTGGAAGTTCCTGTCTCGTCTCCACTGAGAGCCTTAGTTACATGCCATCAGGGTGCCAGGTGCCTTCTCTAAGTGGTGGGCGGCTCAGTGTGGTTCTGTCTTGGCAGGATGTGCCGCTCCGGACGAGGAATGGGGTCTCGGGGTTTCCCTGGCTGACAGAGACGTCTCCCCGTCTCCTTGTGAGAGGTTTCCCGAGGCGCGCTGGTAGGGGGACGCCTTATGGAAAGCGCCCCTCTGCCTCTGGAGACGTCAGTTCCTCCCTTTCATTCTGCCTACAGTCACTTTTCCCTACTCCCATGCCCTCGGTCTCAGCCTCACCAGTTACCTCACGCAGACCTGGGGCCCGGCAGCCTGGTGGGCACCACGGGTCTGCCTCGCTGCTCATTTGTCAGGACCCGGCCGAGGGTCCCGCTCTCCCACTCCAGGACACGCAGGCGGCGCAGGCTGGACTCTGCGAGTGGGCCTGCGCCCGGCCTGGGTGGGCCCGAGGGAGCCCGGAGGTGGGTGCCTCCCGTGAGGGACGTCACAGGACTGTCCGCCCCGCGTGCCCCCGGGGCTCGGCCTCGCCCGCCCTCACTGCTGAGCGCGCTGGCCCGCAGCCAGGGGACTCCCGGCTGCCCGATTCTGTGTCATTTCCTTGTTTGGACGCAACTTGCCTCTGGGACTTTTTAAAAATGCCTTTTCTGCCTGTCATCCTTGTTTCTGACCGCCCGCCTTTCTCAAACTCATTATTTTAAAAACTGCATTTTGTTTGCGCGCTTTCCATCTGAGCCAAAGCAGGGGACTGGGCGGGGACACAGAGGTGAGCGAGACAGGCCAAACGTCTGCCTTCCTCGGAGCTTGTGGGAGAGAGAAAGGAGCACGTGAGGCAGGAGACGCAGGCGGCGGGCAGGGCTGTGCATCTGGGGTCGGCCCCTCTTGTGTCTTGCAGTTGGCCCTTTGTCCCTGGCCTGTGCTGCTGGGTCTGCAGTGCTGGCAGGTGTCTCTGACCAGCACCCGCCTCTCAGCTGAGCTCTTTGATCTTCGGTCTGGCCAAAGCGCCTCCTGTGGCTCCTAGAGGCCATTGAACTTCTTAGAGGCACATGTTCATCCTTTTAAGGCAGAATTTAGTTGCCGCTTCAAGATGCCAAACTCACGAGTTACTTTAAACCTCGTGTTGAATCTTTTTTGAATCTGTCTTTGGCATAAGTGCCAGAATTTTCCCTGGTTGTCTCGAGTCTTTGTAACTTTGGTTTTTAAAGAGCTCCCCTTGTCACCTGGCCTCACGTTTGCACTTTGGGGGAACACTGGCACCACTTGGTGTAAGTCAGCAACCCCCTGAGGGGCAGAAGAATGAAATCCTGGGTGCAGCGTACTCCCTCTCCACGGCCCCGCTGGCAGGGAGCCAGCCGCCACGGCCTCGTCTCAGAGAGAGACGGCTCGGCCCGTTGCCTGCAGCGCGTTGGGAGAGCCACGGGTCAAAGGGCCCAGCAAAGTGTTTCCTTCCCATCACTGCCAGGAAACGGTCCTGACCAGAGTAAAGCCTGATCCTTTCGTCAGGTTTTACGCGGCTGCAAGTCATGCATCTTTGCAGTTCCTCCTCGCCCCGCACGAGAGGGGACCCGGAGCTGCCGCCACTGGCCTGACCGCTGGCCGGGGGGAGGGACCCTGCAGGGTGGGCTTTCCCCGCTTGGCCGCTGTCTGTCTGTTGAGAAGTTGGACTCGCGGCGGGTTTGGATTTCCCGAGACCGCCCTTCTCCATCTCTGCTCCCTGGGGCCTCAGCCTCGGGTCCTCGCGGCAGGTGCGCGGGTTCTGCGCCCCCAGCCTCGGCGCCCTAAGAGCAGCAGGGGAGGCCGCCGCTCACCTGCCAGTCCTCACCTGCGCCTGCAGGCTTCTCTCTGCTCCCCTGGCTCCTGTCTCCGTGTTTCCTTTGCCCACTCGTTTTCCTTGGCGACGGCCTGGCATTGGCTTTTCCTGGAAGAAAGTCAGGCTTTCCAGACAGGTGAGCCAAGATGCCGCCTCCCGGGGTCACACCTTCCCCCTCCAGACCACAGCATCTGCTCTCCCCACCCTTTGCTTCCTCCACGCAATCGTGGCTTCCCGCCACCCGAGCTCGTTCGCGTCCGCACTTAGGTCTTTTCCATGGAGAACTGCAGGAAGCACCTCTGGGGCAGCCTCACCAGCACTTGGGCCGAGCCCCCTGCTCGCCTCGCCTGCGCGGGGCGTGGGGTGGTCGTGTTCCTCTCGAACCCCAAAAGCTGTGACGGGGGGCAGGCCCCCTCCCCCCACTTACCTAGAAAGCATTACTGGTCCCCTCTGCGGCATTCTCCCAAGCAAACCTTACGTAGTGTTCTTTTTGCGACGACCTATTTATTGAACCTATTTATATTTATTTAATTTCTACTCTGAAGTGTATCCGGTTACCATTGCACTCGCTCAAAGCACCTCCGACTTATTTTGGACAACACCCCCGACCCTGTCAAAACTGGAAAAGCACCGTGTCCTTCTGCAGGACGGTGCCTCGCAGCCACACGGCCTGTCGTCATGTGGTCGGGGGAATCATTGGGTCGGGGGAAAAAATGTTCATTTTTAAGTGATTTAAAAAAAAATTCTGTGCCATCGTGTCTTCTCTGTGGACGGTTAATCGTTTAATGGGGATGTGTTGATTGTGTGATGCAATCCTCTGTGGAACCTGAAATCCTCTTTTTAGCTTTATATTTTATAACCTGCCAGATTGTACGATTTTTATGTGTATTTTTAAAGCCCGATGATGTGAGGGTAATGAAGTTAAAGGGCCTATTTTTGTACCTCCTGTACAGTTTTGTAATTGCGCTGGTGGATGGTGGCATCTTGCTGTTGAGCCAACTACAAATAAAGGTAGTTTCAGGTTCGGAGCCCAGTTCATCTTAAAGGCGGGGCGACCACACTCTCTGGCGCGAGGGGCTCTCACCCCCCACCCCCCAACCCCTCCACTCCCCCACCCCTCCACCCCCATGCGCCTGCACCACCAAGTGCATATTCAGGTGCTCACGTGCACACACACACACACACACACGCGCGCGCGCACAGAGCAAGGAGAGCCCTGAAGGGTCTATGACACCAGCCTTGGGGCAACCATTTGGCCAGGGAGGGGAGGCCAAGTAGGAGGGTGGAAGCGCCCCAGAAACCTGTCTAAAGCAGAGAAAGAAGGGGTCCCCTCAAAAGAAGCCAAGTCCAGACATACCTCCTGGGGAAATTCTGTGTCTACAACGGTTGTCCTCGGAGTGTTCCAGGGCAGGGAGAGAAGCAGCCCAGAGCCCCCAACCCTGCCCGCTCTAAATGGGTTCTGCCACCCGCTGCATCGACACAAAGCATATGAGACCTTTAATGGAAAGGAACTTTAATACAATTAGGGAACAATACAGGAAAGGCAAAGAATCTAATTTCTAAATCAAGCACCCAAAGTTACTCGTCCTCTTGTCGTGGGTAAAAGTGCACCCAAATGGCATTGGCCCAGAGCAAGGCCTGAAAGCTGCTCCAGGTCTAAAGCATCTTCCAGTGGGGACCCACAGAAAAGGGCCAGAACCAGCAAGACAAGTCTGGGAGGAAAAGTACAAAATCAAAACCAAGATAAAAGCTGCCATTGTCACCTCCCCACAGGTCTCTCACCCACATCTGTGTCACCCAGTCCATGACCAAAAGGCAAGCACAGTTTCTTCACGTGTCTCTCGGCTCCAGGTGCCTCCTCCAGGTCTCCTTCTGGCTCCATCCTGCTTCCTTCCATCCCCAGGCTCCTCTGCAGCCTCTTCTCCTCCCTGCTCAGCTCCACTGTCCCTTGGGTGGGGCAGGGAACCTGGCATTTCCCCTTTTCCCGGGGACCCCCTGTTACAAGAGCTTCAAAGCCACATGGGACCCTCAAAGCCCTGGAGCCTGAGCCCCCAACCCCAACATTTCTGCATGGCCTGGTCTGCCCGGGGTAGGACTGGAAGCTTCCAAAACGAACAGAGCTGAGGAGACTGAGGCCCCAAAGCACCAAGAAAGGGAGTTGCAGAGCCCTGCAGACCTCAGCCTGTGCGGCCTTGACTGTCCCTTGGTCCCTGACGTGATCTAATGACTTTGCTAAGCCAGGGGTGTGGGGGAGCCCAGCCTGCTGCCCCACCCCTGCGCCTGCACCCAGGTTCCCTACTGTCTGTTCTTGGTGTGAAGCCATTGCCTTAGAGGCTTCTGGTTGTGTGCTAAATTGTGCCAGAGGCCTCAGATGTGAGAACCATCCGGCTTCCGGCTGGGTGGGCGGGGGCAGGCCTGGGGGCCCCCCTTACACTGTGTCACTCATCCAGGGCGCCCACAGTGCAGAAACAGCCTGTGAGGAGAGAGAGTGGAGGGAACCAAGACGGCAGCCCCCCCCCCACCCACACTGAGCAGAACGACCACCTGAGCCTGCACCTGACACCTGGGTATGTACCCCAAAGAGTTGTGAGCAGAGACTCAGACACGCACAGAGTTGCTGGTCAGAGTTATCCCAGCCGCCACAGCGCCATGGGGAGGGGGCTGAGGGGGCGAGCCAGGCACGGCGGGCTGGGAGGCCCTGGTGTCTGTCTGCGCGGGCCGGGCCTCGAGGACATGGCGCGAGGCAAAGCCCGGTGGAGACCAGGGGCCTGGCATCACGGGCCCCACCCCCGGGAGGCCCCTGGAGGAGACAGAGAACCAGAAACTGAGGCAGTGGCTTGGGCGGGGACTGGCGGGGAGCAGGCGGCTGGGTCCCAGGGCGGGGGCTTCAGCGGGGGGAGACGCAGAACCTCTGGAGGGCGCTGATAGCTGGGCTTGGGGAACGTGCCCGGTCTTCTGGGCCCTGCGCTAAAAATAATGAGAGTGGGAGATGATGTGCTGAGTCTCTTACCACAAATCAAAGGAAGGGGAGTGGCTGGAGTGAGGTGGGCGCCTGGCCCAGGATCACGTGACTCCTGAGCGGGAGAAAGGCCTGAACGCGGCCTCGGAGACGCTGGCCTTGGAGGCGCCACGGCCTCTCGTCCTGCCTTCCCCTTTGGGGTGCCCCGGACCCCACCTCCTGCCTCATCACAGTTGCTGGACGGTAAGGTCTCGCCTCCCTGCGGGCAGCGTGGGGACGGGTCGGGACAGAGTCAAGGCTGAATAAATGGAAAGATGCCCCTGCCCTCTCGGGGACTCAGTTTCCCCCTGAAGCACAGGGGTTGCGACCCCAGCGCTCCTTGGCCTGGCTGCCGCGGGCCCCAGGAAGCGCCCCTCTGTGGTCTGGGTTCTCAGCTCGGCAGTTATAGCAGCTTCCTGTTCTGGTCTGTCCTCTTCCTCTGCAGCTGTCCCGCAGGTGACCCCACAACATGGCGGCGCTTCTCCTCTGTGGGGCTCTGAACCCGCCCCCGGGACCCCTGGGGTTCACAGTGCATCTTCTTCCCATTAGAGGGGTCTCTCCCTCCCCCTCAACGTGCAGGAATTTCCCCACGTGTCCCTTTTGTGGACGTCAAGGTGTGTCCCATCCTGAGAGGCACACGTGTGACATGTATGTGCAGCCTGTAGGGTGCCACGCATGGAGTCTTGCGGCTCCCCCAGGGCTCGCCTCCTGCCCGCGCACCCACCCTCGCCAGCTTTCTTTATTGCTCTCTTGAGTCTTCCTTGGTTTTTTGGTTTGTTTTTTAGTGTTTCATTGGACATACATGCCCTTTCACCTTCATTTTAGGAACCCTTTATATAACGTTTACTGTGTAAGTGCTTTGAAATGTTAACTCATTTTTTTTTAAAGATTGATTTATTTATGCATGCAAGAGCTGGGGTACAGGCCAGACATGCAGAGGGTTGAGGATCCACCAGAGACAGAGTGGGGAGCAGAACAGGCAGACTGACTGAAATACACTGCTGAGGGGGGCCTCAGGCTAGTCAGGAGAGGTCTGCCGCGCCAATTGGATAGCTCCCTGGCTGGGGATTGAACTCGTGCTGCAGTGTCTGCAGATAGCTTCCACAGGTTGAGGTTCAGTCTTAACCCCTTGTGCCACAAGGGAGGCCCAAAGAAGATACTAATATTAATCCCAATTTATGAAAGAGAAACTGAGGCACAGAGAGATTGAGTAACCTGTTCAAGATCACACGGATAGTAAACGCAAGAGGATAACAGGGCCAAGCACCCTCCTCCTCTCCTGCCAGTTCTGCTGTGACTGGTTGATGAAGAATCGTCCTTGCGTGAAACCCAGACCCGGGACAGTAATGGATCCATTCAGGCCAAAGATGCTTCAAAATCTAATCTGACCCTCTCTCTCTTTTCACTGCAGCTCAGTCTCTTCATCTTTATTGTGACCGTTAGTAAATCTGAGTGTGTTAATGTCACCTTTTTTAAAGAATTGCATTTGTCCCACTTTTTCTGTGCTTTTCTCCTTGTGTAGCTTTTCACGGCTGCCTGAGGGTGGTTTATTTTTATGCCATTTTCAGAATGTTCCCTGTTCTCAGCGCTTCCAGCCCGTTGTGGAGTCAGATCCCTGCTGGCTGGGACGACTGCTCTCCGACCTTTCCCATCTCTTCTGTGCGGATCCAGCCCTGCCCTCCCTCCCTGAACCACTCCAAAGTCCAGATGTGCTGTCTGGTGATTCCAGACCCAGAGTGTCGATGGCAGCGCTGGCAGCAGCCAGGGAAGGGCAGGCCGCGCCCCAGCCTCCCACCCCCGAGTCCTGACGACACTGGGTATCCCTTTGGAGAGGCCCTGTCTGGGTGCCCTGCTCCTCCCTGACCTCGCCCAAACCCTGCTGCTCCCAGGGCGTCCTAGGCATAGAGGGCCTGGGGAGGGGCTCCCAATCACCGGATCCCCACCCCCTTACCTGCTCCCTGCTTCTGGAGAGTCTATGGCAGAAGAGGGGAACAGAGCATTTCTAGAAACGCACGGCCCCATCCCCACTCCCAACCCCCATGCCCAATTCACCCTGGAGGTCTCAGAGGAGACACCATGAGGGGACCTGGGATATGGAGGCTGGCGCTCATCATCCCTAGAGTCTGGGCTGCTGGGGTTTGCTGTGGGGTGCATTTCCCGAGGCCCTGGGCCTCCAGGAGCCCCTGGGGCTTGCTGTGGGGTGCATTTCCCGAGGCCCTGGGCCTCCAGGAGCCCCTGGATCAGCTGAGTCAGGGCCGGCCAAGGTGAAGTGGTGGCACAAGCAGACCCGTGCTGGAGTACCTCCAAGCCCTGGCCAGGCTTCCTGAGAACAGATCTGATTCACTGTGGAAACCAGGTGTCCCTGACTTCTGATGGCCCCTTCCTAGAAGGGACCCCAAAGATGTGGCCTGTGGGGTCTGGGGCTTGTCAGCACCACCCTCCTCCGTACACACACACACACAGATGTCCCTCCCACGTGCGTGGGCTTGCTCCCACGTGTGCCTGCTGCGCCCTGCCCCCTGCGACCAGGCTGCAGGACCAGGTTGTGCCTGGGCTTATCAGCTACTTCCCAGCTTCCTCTGCCTGGATTCTTGCAAGCCCGGAGCCCTGGGATCCTGCCTTCCACGTGGCTTCCAAAGACCACTCAGATAATGAGAGGCAATGCATGAGGTCATCAGCGCACAGAAGGCTGGGGGCTCCGGGCGAGTGGCCCAGGCCACTCCCTGACCTGCCACCTCCCTCTCTCCTTAGGCTGCCCTCAGCGCTCCCTGCCAGCCGTGGCTGCCCCTCGAGATGTGCCCTTGGAGCTGCTGGAGCCTGCCCGTGACGCTTCTCGCCCTGTTCTGGGGCCCAGGTGAGCCGGCGCCCGGGGTTCCTGACTCACTCATGCCCGCTGGAGGGTGGACTGCCCAATGCACTGGCATCTGGTGGAGCAGGGGTCTGACCCCCAAGGCCCCGGGCCTTTGACCACAGTGGCTTCCCGTGACCCTGGGGTGATGGGTGGGGGTCCTGGCCTTTTGGCCCCCAGGTCAAGCAGACCCCACACCTCCATGGGGGGTGGATGTAGCTGGTTGTGGAGGCTGAGTGGTGGGCCGGGTGGGGACCCAGGGGGTGACAGGACGCTGAGGCAAGTCCCAGCTGGTCTCTAAAAGTGGCCCAGGGCACAGCAGGGGGGCAGAGACATCTCTGGGGAGGGTCAACAAGGAAGTGAGCCCCTTCCAGGGGTCAAGGGCCTGCAGAGGAAATGCTGCCCTGTGCCAGGTGATGTTTGGGACAAGCTGCGGGCGCTTCCCAAGCACCGTCTTGCGCGCCTGCCCCACAGCCCCGCGAGAGGGGCTGCCAGTCCACTGGGAGCTGAGGCAGCTGAGGTCAGTGAGGAAGCGAGTCCCAAGGTCACACGCAGCTGGGCGAGGCGAACTCTGGATCAAATGCCCTCTCTCTGCACAGCGTCCTGCTCGCCCATCTCTAGATGCCACCGACCGAGGGCCAAGTGGGGGCTCTCGTGGGGTGGGCGGGGCACATGACACAGGACAGGCCCCGCTGAGATCCAGGACCTTCTGGTGGTGGCCGAGTGGGAGGTGAGCACTGAGGTTTCTCCACATCAAATACTTCTCGGAAGTCAGCTGCACTTAGGGAAACACACACAACCTGGGGGTGCCTTCTAGGGACTCTGAAACAGCCAAGGGGGAGGAAACAGGAATGAGTCAGCAGCTCACCTCATCATCTTCTGCAGCTGACCCCATGACCCTGCACCCCCTCTACCCCCCCCACCTTCCTCCTCCCTGAGGCTGTGGAAACATGTAGGCCCATCCCCAGTCCCCACCCGCTGCTGACAGCTCTGCTCTTGCTGGTGGTTCATGTCCTTACTGTTCCCAGACACGCCAAGCACACAAGCTCCCTGGAGTCTTTGCCCTGGCAGGACCCTCTCCCTGGTAACAGCCCCCCAGATATCAACAGGGCTGCCTCATCTCTTTGCTCATATGTGGCATCTCCCTGAGGCCTCCTGAGCACTATTCAAGACAGCAGCCCCACCCCCTCCCCATTTCCTTCCAGGGCACCCCCCTCTCACAGATCTGCTATTTTCACTTGATTGTTTGTCTCCTTCAGGGGGGTGAGCGCTGCAGGGCAGAGCCTGGCCTGCTTTGGTGGAGGCTGTGCCCAGAGGCTAGAGCAGTGTCTGAGGGAGGGAGGGTTGAACCCCAGGCTGGGGGCCAGAGAACATTCCACCCCCACCACTGATCAGCTTGTGCAGACATTAGGGCTGGGCCTGGAGGGTGGAGCAGGAGCCCTCTCCAGGGGGCACGTGTGAGGAAAACTTACCTGGAGGTGATGGGGCAGATGGGCTGGAGCAAGAACAGTCCAGGGCAGGGAGGCAGCCTGGGAGCGGGGGCGTTGCAAGCCTCAGGGTCTAGATGGAGGCGACAAGGCTAAGCCGAGGGGGAGGAGGCGAGGAGGGGGAGGAGGCGAGGAGCTTCTGTTATAGGACAGGGAGAGGGGCAGCCCAAGCCCCGCAAACCTGCCTATTCTACATGGGTTCTGCCATCCGCCGCATCAACACAAAACATAGGAGACTTTAATGGGAAGGAACTTTAATAAAACTAGGAAACAATACAGGAAAGGCAAAGAGTCTAGTTTCTAAATGAAGCACCCAAAGTTACCCATCCCCTCGTGGGTAAAACTCCATCCAAATGGGATTGGCCCATAACAAAGCCCCAAAGCCTGCCACAAGTCTAAAGCATCTTCCAGTGGGGACCCACAGAGAAGGGTCACAAACAACCGGACAAGCCCAAAAGGAAAAGAGCAAAATCAACATCAAGATAAAAGCTGCCATGGTCACCTCCCCACGGGTCTCACCCACATCTGTGTCACCCCGTCCACGACCAAAAGACAAGCACAGTTTCTTCACGTGTCCCTAGGCTCCATACGCCTCCTCCAGGTCTCCTTCTGGCTCCATCCTACTTCCTTCCTCAGTCTCTTCTGCAGCTTCTTCTCTCCCTGCTCAGCTCCACCCTTCCTTGGGTGGGGCAGGGAAGCTAGAACCTCCCCCTTTCCTGGGGACCACCCTGTTACACTTCGGCCTTTCTTCTTGGGCCCCTGCCCCTTGACCCGACGGCCAGGGACATCACTGCCCGGGGTTTCTGGTCCTCCAGGGTCTGCTGAGGAGGCGTTTGAGGTCCGCATGTGGCCAGAGCGGCTGGCCTTGGAGGCCGGAGGGTCCGTGGTGATCAACTGCAGCACCAGCTGTGTCCAGCCTGAGGACGGAGGCCTGGAGACCACCCTGGCCAAGGAGTTGCTGGACCAGCAGCCTCAGTGGGTGCGGTACTTGCTGTTCAACGCCTCTGAGGACACGGACGTCCTCTGCTACTTCACCTGCGACGGGAAGCAGCTTTCGAAGTCAGCCACTGTCCGTGTGTTCTGTGAGTGGCTCGAGCCCGGCTGCAGGGCATCTCCTCACGGCCCCTGCCCCCGGGCTCCGGGGTGATCAGAAGCGGCCCCAGAATCTCTCCTTCCCCTCACTGGCCGCTGCTGAGCCTGCTGGCAGCCCTTTGTGTCTTGCCAGAGGACCCCGATCCCAGCCAGGTTTACAGGGACTTGAAGGCAGGTCCCCAGGAGGCTCTCACAGTCCCCTGCCCCATCCCCGGAGCACCCCACATCCCTCGTGAGGGCAGCCAAACTCTCTGCGTCCCCTTTTCCTCGTGGGGAGGTTGAGGCATCACCAGTGCCTCTGTTTTCCTGAGGCCCCCGGAAATGTGTGACCGAAACACACACACCTGCCCATGAGCACAGAGACCCCCCTCCATAGGCCACATTCTCCGATATCTCGGCACCGAGGGCATCACTTGGGTCCTCTGCCTCCTGTCCCTGCCATTTCCAGTGTCAGATCAAATGGCTAGAAAGTGTGGAAAGTGTTCTAAATCCAGCACGTAATCCTGGGGTGATGGGGCCAAGTATCCTAGTTCAAAGGGGAGCTTGGGGTGCCGTTGGGACCCATGATCAGCTCATGGCTCAGCTCCTACTACTCACCATGATCACCCAACTGTTTATTTATTTTTTATTTTTGCATAGAAGAACTGGGGTGTAGGCCAGAGGTTCGGGGGTAAGAGGATTCACCAGAGGCAGAGTGGGGAGCAGAACAGGCAGATCCACTGAAATACACTGCTGAGGGGAGCAGCAGGTGAGACAGGAGAGGTCTGCTACGCCATGTGGGTTGCTCCCTGACTGGGGATCGACTCAGGTCATAGCAATAACGCTGAGACTTAACCCCTAGACCACCACGGAGGCTCCCAACTGTTTAATTTATGAAATTTGATTTAATTTCTGGAGAGCAAGGCGACAGACACAAACTTTCATATTCCCGGTTGGCCATACAGTTTCTAGGCCTTCTTTGTGGACAACTGACCACCTTCAAGCTTGCCCAGCCCAGAATCCATCCATTCATAAAATTTCCACCCAGTTCGTCCTTCACCCCGAACTGCTTCCTTCTTCCTCTCTCCCTGATCTACAGCATGCCAGGCCCCAGCCCACCTCCTCCCCCACAAGTCCAGCCGGGACCTGGGAGCCCAGGTGGGGGACACCAGGGTGGTCCTGGCCAGGTAGGCCTGCTGGGATGGCACCTTTCTGACCAGAGCATGCTCCTCTTTCCTGCAGACCCCCCCAAGCAAGTGCTGCTGACGTTGCCGCCCACCCGGGTGGCCGTGGGCAGCTCCTTCACCATTGAGTGCAGGGTGCCAGCGGTGGCACCCCTCGAGAGCCTCACCCTCACCCTGTTCCATGATAAGGAGACTCTGCACAGCCAGACCTTCGGGGAAGAAACAACAGACCCCCAGGAGGCCGTGGTCACACATAACTCCACGGCTCCCGAGCAAGCAGGCTCCCACAACTTCTCCTGCCGGGCGGAGCTGGACCTGCAGTCCCTGGGTGGGGGCCTCCCGCGCAGTGTCTGGGCGTCCAAGGAGCTTGAGGTCTATGGTGAGTGGCGCCCTCGCGTGGGGGAGGGAAGGCGAGGGTGTTCCAGGGCAGGGAGAGGGGCAGCCCAGACCCCGCACACCTGCTGCCTACTCTAAATGGGTTCTGCCATCCGCGGCATCAACACAAAACATATGAGACTTTAATGGGAAGGAACTTTAATACAGTTAGGAAACAATACAGGAAAGGCAAAGAATCTAGTTTCTAAATCAAGTGACCCGTCCCCTCGTGGGTAAAAGTCCACCCAAGCAGGATTGGCCCAGAGCAAGACCCAAAGCCTGCCTCAAGTCTAAGCACCTTTCAGTGGGGACCCACAGAAAAGAATCAGAAACCACCAGACAAGTCTGGAGGGAAAGAGCAAAATCATAATCAAGACAAAAACGGCCATTGTCACCTCCCACCCGTCTCTCACCCACGTCTGTGTCACCCCGTCCACGACCAAAAGGCAAGAGCAGTTTCTTCATGAGTCTCTCGGCTCCATGTGCTCCATGTGCCTCCTCCAGGTCTCCTCTGGCTCCATCCTGCTTCCTTCCTTCCCCAGGCTCCTCTGCAGCTTCTTCTCTCCCTGCTCAGCTCCACCCTCCTTTTGGGTGGGGCAGGAAACCTGGAACCTCCCCCTTTCCTGGGACTACCCTGTTACAATCCCCCCTTTTAATTTTTATTCCACCGTATCTATGTGGCACAGATCTCAGCGTGTAGTCTTAGGAGACCGTGGTTTTTCAGGGTTACAATATTTGTAAGAGAAGCAACAATTAGCTGCAGCCTTGTCCATGAATGTCCAGTATGACAGCTTTACATTTTGGAAAATAGTCCATTATCCAAGCCAAAAAAGCAAAAAAAAAAATCTGGAGACATTAGCCTAAGCAAGACAGCCAATATATCAAAATCACAGAAAAAAATCTTAAAATTAGTTGAACTTACGTAAAAAAACAAACAAACAAGTTCTCTCAACCTTGATCCCTAATTATTTCAACAGTGTAGCAAAAGTTTGGAAACTCAATCTACTTTGAAACCATATTACCTATTTTTGCATAAAATCACAGGGCAGAATAACTAAACAGCAATTGTAGCTGGCTCTGTTGGAACACTCCATACAGGATCAGAGCAAACTCTTGACATCCGGGCCACGCAGGCTTCAAGAACAAAGTTGGTCTCACCAGACTCCACCTGGGCTTCCTCTTCTCGAGGGTACCGGGGCTTTTTCTTTGTCTGGGTTGTCCAGTCCTGCCCATGGAGGCAGCTTCCTCACCTTCTTTGGAGGTCTCTGGAACCCTACAAACAAAGCAGCAGGTTCTCCTCTTCTTGGTTCAGCTCTATTTCAGCTTCCTGGGAGAACATTGAAATCCACACAATAAAACTCATCTGCAATTGTTGATGTTTTAAGCAGACAAAATCACTATGGAAGTTATGCAAAAATAGACACTGACATGAGTAGTAAAAATTACTACCACTATTTTCATGCTGGGTTGGTATCAAGGGTAAGAAAATGCAAACACAAGTTAGCTCTGCTGAAAAATTAAAAAAAACAATTGAACATTGCTGCAGGTCCTGGTCAGTCAAAACAAGAAAATTCTGTGGATTCAGAACAAAATACAAAAAAAAAAAATTTACCAATATTACGTCAAAGAAAACTTAGTAAAAACAAGCGTATTTCCAGGTCTATTCAGTCCTTTGTAGGAAATTTTTTGTTTGTTTGTTTGTTTTTGTTTTTTAAAATTTCTTTTTTTTTTTTTAAAGATTTATTTATTTATTTATTTATACAAGCACTGGGTACAGTCAGAAGCGCGGGAGGGTGAGAGAATTCACCAGAGCCAGAGCGGGGAGCAGAGCAGGCAGACTGTCGAAGAAGTACACTGCTGTACAGCGGGCGGCAGGAGAGGTCTGCGCACCATGTGGGACCCTCGCTGGTAGCCGGGGATCGAACCGGCGCTGCAGAGGCTGTGGGCAGCTTCACAGCCTGGCGCACAACCGCTGCACCACCAGGGGAGGCCCTGTAGGAAATTTTTATTTAACCCATCAAAAGTTCCATTAATAGGAATCGTGGGCCTGCTGGGCCTGCACCTTTCTGACCAGAGCACGCTCTTTCCTGCAGACCCCCTCAAGCAAGTGCTGCTGACGTTGCAGCCCACCCGGGTGGCCGTGGGCAGCTCCTTCACCGCTGAGTGCAGGGTGCAGGCGGTGGCACCCCTCAAGAGCCTCACCCTCACCCTGTTCCATGGTGAGAAGCCCCTGCACAACCAGACCTTCGGGGAAGAATCAACAGACCCCCAGGAGGCCGTGGTCACACACAACTCCACGGCTCCCGAGCAAGCAGGCTCCCACACCTTCTCCTGCCGGGCGGAGCTGGACCTGCAGTCCCCGGGCTGGGGCCTCCCGCACAGCCGCTGGGCGTCCCAGGAGCTTGAGGTCTATGGTGAGGGGCGCCCTTGCGTCGAGGAGGGAAGGAGAGGGCACTGGGATTCGGCCCCTGAGTCCCACTCTGCCAACTCGGGGGTCCCTCTTCGGGGCAGCTCTTTCCCAGTTCCCGGCTTGGACCCCACTAGCTGCTTGGCCGTGAGCGGTGACTGGCAGGAGTCAGCCTCCTCTCCGTCCTCGGCCTTTCTCCGCAAGGGGGGATTTGGCCTGACACCCCGAAGCTGCCTCGAGCTCCGCTCCCAGGGACTGTGGGTGCCCAGGCGCTGCCTGTCTGCAGAGAACTTGGCGGACGCGTGGTCCTCGCTGCCAGGGCGGAGGCTGAGCCTGGGCCATGCGCCTTCCGGGGCAGGTGTGAGCGACGCCCGCCCCAGGCCAGGTGCAGGGGGACACCTGCCTCGCGGCGCAGAGCCGGGCTGCCGGCCTGGACCGGAGGCCCCTTCCTCTCGGTCCTTGGGCAGACGCCGCCCGCCCTTGCCTGCGCCGCAGGGCGACTGCAGAGTGGACGGGGGTGTGGGTACCCCGGACCTGGAAGCACCGGGCTTCTGAGACCACCGCCCCTCTCTCCCCAGAGCCCCCACAGGACAACCTGCTGGTCGTCATCATCGTCGTGTGCTTGTGTGTGACATCTGGCCTGCTGTGCTTTGTCTTGGGCCAGCAGTGGCGCCAGAGCCGGACAGGCAACTACCAGGTGGAGACGCCTGGAGGAACCTGCGGGGGCCCCACCGGGCCCGTCCTGTGTAAGCGCAGCACCCAGGGAACTGGACCTCAGCGTGGCTCCCGGGGCTGTGGTCCAGCTCGGGCTGAAGGATGGCGACAAGCAGCAGAGGATTCCGAGGACTCTCACTTTCTAGCTCAAATACAAACCCCTGGACTCAGCCCCGTGCCGCAGTGTCCTCCTGAGGCAACACTCACGGGCCAGGAAGGGGACCCGCTGGGCCTGGACTTCTCTCCCTCCCCACCTCCCAGAGCCCAGGCCCTGGGGTACCCCTATGCTGAGCATCTGGGGAAGCAGACCCGCCTTTGTGGGGCCCAGAGTGCCTAATCCTTCCTGTGGGAGGAAGGGGGACAAGCCCCGACTTGGCAGGGCAGAGAGAAGCTGTTCCCACATCGCCCTTCCGGGACTTCAGCCCCACCTGGTCTGAGCAGGACAGGACCCTGACTTCTCCTTTCTGCCAACAGAGTTAGCTTCCTGGGTTGAGGGGCCTGAGGGAGCCGGCTCAGCTCCAGGACCCTCCCAGCCAGGCCTCTCCATCACTCTGGACCTTCAGAGCAAACGGAGGCTCAACGGAGACCCCACAGCCCCGGCCATGCCAGAGACAGGGGAGAGAGGGGCGGGGAGGGTGGTCCCTGGTGCCCAGGCCTCCCCCTGCCCAGGCAGGAAACAGTGGGCAGAGCGGGCGCTCACGGGCCTCGGGCCTGGGCGGTGCTCTGCGGGCTCCTGCTCCAGAGCAGAGCAGGCCAGTGCGAGAGGCTCATTCACTGGGGCGGGGGTCGGGGGGGGAATGAGGGAGGTACTGGCTGAGGCTGAGTGGGCAGAAGGGCTGCCAGGCACGGGTGTAGAGTCAGCAGGGACTAGAGGGCATGTGGGGCTGTCTCCGGCCCTGCAGTGAAGCCTGCGCGGTCCTCAGGGTAAGCTCTGGGCATCATAGTAGTCTGCGGGGAGAGTGCACCTCATGGGACTCCCTCCTGCCTCATGGACCCCAAAGAGGGAAAGGGGAGGGGATAGCCCAGCTGCCTATGGCGGTGGCAGTAGGAGCCCCCCAGGCCCAGGAAACATGAGCCCCTGGACTCCTGAGTACCCCACGGCTGGGCTCCACTGCCAGGCACCCAAGCCCACCTGAAGCTGGAGGTACATCTGCACCCACAGTCCCTGTGGCACTGGGCGGTGGGGGCGGGGGCACAGCTCTCCTGAGATGAGAAGAGAAAAGAAAGACCCCATCTGAGATGGCCTCCAGGGTTTCACCCTCGGGTATCTCCAGCCCCTGACCAGCTTCTCCAGCCCAGCCCAGGACAGGACAGACCCCCAGCCACACTTATGCGCCCCTTTTCCCAAAGGCAGGAGGGCAGGGCTGAGTCCTGGTCATGTCCTGCACGTGGGGCTGGTGTGGGGGAGGGGGCAGGAAAGAGGCCGGCCAGGGTGGTAGGGCGCCCAGAGTGGGCAGCGGGCAGGGCACGTAGTGGTGGTGGAGCACCAGAGGCCCTTCCTCCTGGGCCTCCAGCAGCTCCTCCGCCTCATTCTCCTCTTGGCCCTCCAGGTAGACCTGGGACAGCGCAGAGGGGAGGGGAGATGATAATGTTTGGCTCCCCAAACCCCATCCTCCAGCCTCCTAAACTTTATCCCCAGATGCCATCCCAACCGGCTGCTGTGAGTGGCGCAGTGACTGCATGCAGCGAGGCACTCCGGAGACATTTAGTCCTTATTTTGCAGGTGGGGAAAACTGAGGTTCAGAGAGGTTGAGCAACTTGTCTAAGGTCACCCAGCTAATACGTGGCAGAGCCAGGATTAGAGGAATCCTGGGGTGACTCCCCAGTGACTGATGGGGAGTCTGGTGAACTGCCCCTGACGGCAACCCAGGCCTGGAGCCAGTGGGCTGGGGAGCTCATCTCAAGGGCTGCTGAGTGGATACATTGCCAGCTTCCTCTGACCTCCAAATCCTACCTGGACTTCAAGGATTGATTGTAAGTCTCCTCCAAGGAGCCTCTCCTCTTTCCCCAATCACTGTGCACCCACACTTTTACCTTTTACCTCTCCATGCGCCAGTCACAGGCCCAGTTGCCTTGTATTCTTACTCCTTAACTCGTTCACATGTTCACCTTAATAAATGTTAGGACCTGCAGGCGCCACAGTAAAATGTACCTGTCAATGTAGGGGCCTGCAGTCCAGTGGGAAACCTCCTTGGAAAGAGGCCTGGGTGATCTGGATTTGGGCACCCCCTCCCCCCCAATGGAAGCTGACTAGAGCTGGCATATATTAGGTATCTGTAGGATAAATGGTTTTCAGGTTTTTCTACCCTCTCACCAAAGGATTGCCTTGCTTGATGGGGCACGTGCATTTGTTACATTGTTTTAAGCCATCTTGCTTACTTCTGTGGCCCATGGGAGGAGTATTGAGATAGTTACCAAGAGAAGCGGAGGCAGGAGAGAGAGAAGGGGAGAAAGAATGCCAGAGAAGCCCAGAGAGAAAACTTGCTGGGGGCTTGGAGGCCTTTAGGCCTCCTGGCCCCCTGGCACCCCTGCCTGCCCTGTACCTGGTTGCTGCACTCCATGTAAAACCTCAATAAAAGCCTGAGAAAGCCACTAAGGGTTCCAGGACTCTTCCTTTACCCAGTCTGCTCGGATCATAGATAACCATCTCTGTGCACTTCCTGGCACTACAATTGGCGTAGTCGGCAGGATGGATTGATGCAGATGGGTATGGAGCCCTCTGAAGATCTCAGGAGGGATTGGGGAGTAGCAGACTGTGTTTGCCTGGGGAGCACAACCAACCCATACCGGGTAGGTTCATATTGGTTCTAGCAGCCCTGTTGGTGTCTTCCTGCTCTCCGCTGTTGTCGCCGTACTCCATCGCACTCTGCCACGCTCTGTCATGCTCTGTCACTCTGTGCCGCACCCCTCCATCCACTCCAATGCACTCCTTGTTCCTCGGCACTCCACTGCACTGCACTGTGCTGCGCCACGCCATTTGGCCGAGTGCACATGAGCAGTGGGAGGGTGGAAAAGCCTCGAGCTTTTCCCCACTACTTACCCACAGCCTGTGACAATGCTGGACATGCCATGGCAGCACAGGTGGTGACCAGAGTCTTGGAGCTGTGGGAAGAGCTAGAGATGCTGCAGGAGCACAGGAGGTAGACAAGGTCCAGGAGCTGCGGGATGAGACCACAAGCGAAGGAGGTGATGGCCTGCAAAGACCAGCCCAGGGCCCCTACAGCAACAGTATCATCGGGGAAGAAAGGACCACAATTTGGAGCTCGCCCAGTGCTGACACAAGGAACTTGGACTGATAATCCTGCCAGAAGGCAGAGAACTTTGGCAGGGTAATGTTATTTTGGGGGGACCCTTGGGGAGGATGGTATTGTTTGTGTTTGTTTATTGTTTGTACACCCCAGGAGATGGGAATCTGGGAGTGGCCAGTGGGCCTCTGTGTTTATACTGCCCAGCAGCGAGGCAGAGGATAAAAGCCAACTTAGAAAGGCAAAAGCTAGTGCTGAGATTGGGAAGCCCTGAGTGGCTATTAAGCAGCCTAAGCATGTTCAAGAAGGCCAGTGAGTCTGTTAAAATCACCTGTGGGTGATGCCCTGCTCATTGTTGAGTGAGAGTGAGGAGCTGAGGAACCCTTTTCGGGGGATGGGGGGAACATGGCTTGTGGTGGAGCCCACAGCCAAAGAGGGGACCCAAGAGAGGCTGCGTGTGGAGCTTGTATCCACAGATCCCCGACCCATGTGCTTGTGCAATGGGTTGGCCTGAGTGCAGGGGTCTGCGTGTCCCATCGGTGGCTATGAAAGCCGAGTGTTGGAGCAACTGTAGACAGAAAATCCTGAGGATTGGGTGATTACCCCCAAGGTACAGAATCACGAATCCACGAGTGAGTGCATCCTGGGGGCGGGTGCTGTGTGTGGCTTGTGGCCGAGACTACAGCCAGAGAAGGCCAGGAAGCCTGACGGCTCCTGGTGTGTGACGGCAGATGCCTGAGTGGTTCCTCCCTTGTATGAGCGGTGCCTCCGCAGCAGAAGTGATGGATCATTTCCTGGCGCCCATGATCAACTTTTGCCACTAGGTTGGTGCCCTGCCTGGAATTATTTGTGTTCTGTTGTATTTTCTTTTGGGGGCCATGGCTGCTGTGTTTGTGTTTGTTAAAGGAAACTTGTATATACTTGTATACAGATTGTATGGCAGAAAACCCTGAGGGGGTGGAAAATTAGGTAAATGGTTTTCAGGCTTTTCTGCCCTCC